GTGTATAATGATTGTGTGTCATAATCTGTGTTTATGTATATTTTCGTTGAAAAAAGTACGGGTACGAATTTCCCATATAGGGAATAAGCTATTACCGTAGGTCTCGGTAAGACCTAGACCCGGGACCGATTTACTTTTTCGTTTTGAGGTCCCCAGAGGCCAAATCACTATCCGTTCAAATTTATATATATATGTGTCATATATATATCTCATGTTTATGTGTGCCCGTTAGCGCGATAACTCGAGTAAAAATCATCCGATTTTGATGAAAATTGTACAAACGTGTAAACCTACATTTATCCGAACGAGTTCGCAAACCAGCATGATCGGACTATGGGAACAGGGGTTTATGGGGGTTTTCATGGGGTAAAATAGGGTGTTCCCATTTTCACCATGTAAACATAAGATTTTACAATTTCTTTCCAAACAATTTTGTAGATCCCAAAAACAAATAATTTAGTATATTGAAGCATTGTTGTATGCCTAACGGTTATGGAAAAAATCCCAACAAATTGTAAATTTAAAATTACCATGTTATTCTTATGGACAATAAATAAAGTGATGCAGTTTGCTTGTTTATGGACATATTTTAATGAAATTTTGTTTACTTCATACTAAGCTTTCAATATTTCAATTAAAAACCCCCTATTTTCTTCCCAGTAGCAGCAGCAAACCTAAGTACTCATTAAAATTAATGATATTTAAATATAAAATAAATCTGATAATTTTTAGGGAATATTGTAGTAGAATATCCAGCCGGGCTTCGACCTGTTTCGAGCTGGTCTAGTAGTAGAGCGCGAAACTTTGGTCTCCAAGGTACCGGGTTCAAATCCCGCCAATCACCACTGGTTTTATCTAAGTCATAATACCCCTCTAGGTGCCAGCTAGCAATGTGAAAAAACCCCAGACTAAAACCTAGGGAAAAAATATTTTACAGATTTTTTTCTGTGACAGTAAAAATGACAAGGTTCCTAGAAACACTGCAACAAATAAAAATACACCAGCATTTGATGTCGGTCCTAAATTTAAAATAATGATAATAATAAATAACAAACTCATTAAAGAAAATGCTTCATCTGTTGGCACTGCACATTTTTGAACTGTGACTTAAAAGCCTTTACGCGATTTAAGAAGCGCCCTTTAAGACTTGTATTTGAATCCAAAGCTAATAATCGAATACCTTCACCAGCGTAAAACTTGCAGCTAATTATGTGAATGTTTTCACATCTGTGCAGTTGGAACGTTTACAGTAACTAGGCTGATAATTTCGATGAAACTTGTGAATGTTATGTGATGTCCGTTAACTCCTTAAGGCAGCCAGAAAAGTTCAATATACTTTTTAGCTTGAGATTATAAATGCAACTAGCAAAGTAATTAAGCTAGTAAGTAATTAAACGTAATTTACCGTAATTACAGTAATTTAACGGATGGTATTTTGCCTCTGGGGCCTCAACACGAAAAAGTATACTAAATCGCGTCCGTCTTAAATCCTTAATATAATTTACCGACTAATGTATCAATATTGTAAAAGAAACATATTTTGTGAACAAATCCCTTATTCCATACTTTGCCTGACGCAACTGTAATGAATAAAAACAAATACGACGTTTTAATCTTTCAAAGTAATTGTTTTACTCAAACTAACTTACATAAATTCAAAGGTACTTCTCGAAATACAAGTAGGGCATGGAATTACGGTGTCCTTGATAACGATTGGTGGAAGTTGGAAGACAACTTTCTCGAAGAATTGGTTTTAAATTGTCTCAAAACACGACGTAAATGTAGAAATGAAGAGCTCGAGACGAAAGAGCCAAAAAGCTACTGAAACACAGTACTTAACAGTATATGTAAAAGGTTTATTTGTATGTTATTGTGCATATTTTTACGTTCAAATGGAGTTACTTATATCAAACTGTATGAGGTTACTTCTAGCAGATATAAGTAAAACACAAACACAATTTAGATGTAAAAGACCAACGAAAAGTATAAGACACGGGAACCACATTAGTAGTTGGTAAAACTATGAATAATCAAAGCTACACATACGCCTATTTGGTCCTATTATGCGAGCATAAAAATTGTAATTCCCGATTTTCAAAGTCTTAAAATTTGATTATTTCAACTTCTAAAAGGCTATATCTCTTAAGTTTTCAACTAATGTAAATATCACCATAAATCTTCGTACAGTAATTATATACTATGAAATATAAAACAGTAAAAATTATATAATTTATTAAAAACGTATTTTAATAAAACATTTTTTATTAGTATAGGATTTGTATGGTAATTTTCTACCTCAATTAACCCGGTGCGGTATAAAATGACTTTTAAGCATTTTTAAGTATTCGAGTAGTAAACGATAGGTTTTTAGTAGTGCACTATTACTATTATATAGTTTTTTAGATGAATAAATAAAAAAAAGCTCCAAAGTAGTAATTTATTACATAACCTCACAGTATACTAAGGCTTTTAGTTCTATATTAGCGTAATTATACTAATCCTCTTGTTCAACTTTATCACTACAAAGATTATACTATCTGATAAAAAGATTTTGACAACAGTGATATGATATAACATGAATGTCTTCAAGATCAACGAATTATTGATACCTGAAGTGGGTAAACAAAATTATATCATAAACTAGAGTAGTCTTAAACATTTTGTAAGTGGACATTATTTTGAGATTTCCATTGAAATAAAAATAAGTTGTCTACAAGGAAAGGTACAATGAAGGTTCTGTTTGTTTAATAGTAGGTGGTTTAACATTATGTTTGAAATTAAGATATCTTATCACAATAGCAAACGCATTTCTGGATTTAGATGGCATTTTTAGTTGCTATCGATGATGCTACATAACAAAAGGTCTAGTTTCTAGTTCAGACAAGACCAGGGTTTGGGCCGTTCCCGAAACGTAAAACAAATGAAAGGCATGGAGAAACATAAATTAACAAAATACAAAGAAGTGAAAAGATTAATTTATATGTTTACATAAAATGTGTTTAATATGAAACTGATATGTTCGTTAACATGTATTATATACGTGAAGTAAATAAGTAGAAAAATAGTTTATAGGTCTTATGCCTTGCCTATATAGTTTATGTTTATAGGAATAGGATACAATTGTTCAATCCAAAATCAAACAAATTACAGTATAGCGAACATACGGAATAAAAATTGTGTTAAGTTGTATTGGTTGTATTGACACAACTTGGGACTCCAACAAGACCATGGGCGAATTGGTTTAGATCTAGTTGTTGAATAAAAAAATAAGTACAAGTCACATAGTTTAATTTGTGAAGTGTAATGTTAGTGTTCACTACATAGTAAATTGACAAATAATATTAAATATAGACCTATGTATCTCTCTGAAAACTGAATTTGGTCAGGAAGCTGTAAACGCATTGAATCACAGAAAAAATACTACTATAAACATTGAATCCGCAAAAGATAATATAGACTTATATTAAATACGTGAAAAAGTATAACACAATCACAAGTAACATAAATGAGTATGTAACAAGCTTCATTAATATTTTTACCTTTGTAAACTAATATTTCGATAAAAATTATTTTAAATACGAATTTTGTGAGAACACAAAATTGTGAACGCGTTTATGTGCCACTAAATCGAATGCAATTTAGAAAAATACAATTAAAATAAGAAAATCGATCTAAAAATTCTTGAAACATGCAGAAAACAATCATTTCAAAACAAACCTGGTGAAAATCGATAAGCGCCGCCGGCAACAAACCAGACAAAATATTCAAGAGTAAATATTATGTACAGTAAAAGCATAAGTAAAATAATGCATGAGTGTGGGTTCAAAGGGGTTGTAGGTTAGGTTTGCCTGGACCTACCTCAGTTGTTTCGATGTTGGAGTCTATGCACACACTGCACTGACAAAAGCAACGGCAGAGAACCTAGCGGGACGATTCGGAACTGCACCACGTGCGTCTTCGGGGCTTCATTCATGAATGACCACTGACCAGTTGGGTCGGTTTTGTTTGGTTTTTGTGCATCTCCCTTCATTCCTTTTTTCCTTCTTGTTGATTCCGTGGTGCGCTTGGAATTTTTTATTGCAGGGCACTTTTTGAATAATTTTCACATCGTCCATGATGCAACTTAGAGTGGTGATGCACCGTAGAAAATTCTTTAACTATTTAGCTTAAGTTAAGTTAAGCTCACAGAGTTAAATACTTGATAGATTATAACGCAATGTATTTACCAGTTTTCCCCAATTCAAAATTTGCAAGTTTGATTTTAGGGAGGAAATATCCGGGTTCTGGTCCCTCCGAACCCCAAAATATGGGTTTCGAAGCTATGTAAGTGTGTGTCTGTATGTGTGTGTGGATGTGTACAGAGCTACAGATTGCATCCATGGGGTCCGATTTTGATGAAATTTGTTATTATGCGTATATTATGAAAAAATTGTAGTAATCCATGGTACCTCCAGATATTTTTCATTTTGATTTTTTACAGCAATTTCCCATAAACCCCCATAAATCAATGGAAAGTTGGATCTTCACAACGATTTGATTAAAATGTTGAATATAATATTCTTTACGCCAAACTACACTATTTTGACGAACTTCCTACGCATGGATTTAAAACAGCTGTTTGCCGTCAGCTTTTATTCAAATGGGGTTTCATTGCGTACTGTACTACTGTACTGTAATGAGTTTAACCGGACACAATCAGCTGATTATACTGCAATATTTCTGCAATATACTGTATTTGGGTGGCAATGAGTGGTTATAAACAAAAACATGACTAGTGATTTTTAGTCCTTTAGTTGGTGGTAATATATAAGGATTTGTACAGATCTAGTTATGGCGTTTTAAAATCATTTTAAAAACGCGTTTTACGAACGCCTGCAAAGTATCTTAGGCAACACACAAACACCAAAGTCGAGCGGCACACGGACCAACTCCTGCACATCAAAACGCCCGTAGACTCTGGCACGGGGCCAGGTTAAAAATACGATTGAGGCAAGGCGACATCTCGGATTTTGGTTTAGTTGGGCCCAAAATGACGGCAAGGGCCGTCCTAGCTTTTGGGTTACTTCTCACCCTGTATATTGGATGTGGGAGTGGGACTAAGGAGGAGGAAACGTAAGTACCTAGGTTAAGTAAGTAAGAAAGTACAAGTACAAAATAAACAAATAACGCCTTCAGTGATGATTTCTTACCTGATATTTTTGGTAGTGAGTTTTTCAAACCCATGTGCAATCTTCAACAATGTGGGTAGTAACAGTCTTCCCATTTGTTCATGGTTTACTATTTACCATACTATTTACCATACTATTTGATTTTCATTGGCCTAGTAAGTACCTCTCTTACAAAGTACCAAAATTGTAAAAAAAATTGGTTGTTTACCTAAATATAATAATCTGTGCTTTAGCAATAGATGTTTATAATTCATTATGTTAAAGAAATGAAGTTATAGGTAATAAAATACATGCTCTTTATCACTAAAAGGTTCAACATTACAGTATATCAGTTAAAAAATGTTAGTGTGAAAAATATTTATGATCAATTCACAAAGAAATCACAAACTTTAATACAATTTTGTTTTGTACTCTTAAATTGTTCCTATTTTTTAATGTTAACACGTTGGGTGCTGATGACGGGAATTCCCGCCATTGCTTAACATTGAAATAAATGCAATTTTCATGTTCAAACATGTCAACGGCACTTTAAGTGTTAAATGGAAAATTGGGTCTATATTTCTTTATTTTGGTAATTATTTTGGTGGCACGCCCATAAAATTTAGAGGTGCTTCAAGCATTAAAAATGATTATTTGAAAAAAAAATTACAATAAACTAAACAAAACTCAATTTGAAGTTTATCGAAATACTGTGTTACAATAGATGCAAGATTTTACTGTATTTCTGCAAAAACACTCAGGACAAATATAGATTTACAGCATAATTCTCGGAAACTGTGTTTGAGGCTATAAACTATATTATTAGACATGTTTCATCTCCTTCCTCATTTAGATCAAGTGTTTTCTCACACAAGTAGTTAAATAACTTAATTATACTCTTCCTACAATTTTTCCTTATTGGTGGAACAAAATTTATAAACTATCTCTGAGATCCCATGTAAAAAATCTGATTGCTGTATTTTTTGTTCCTACCAGCTCTTTATCTGTGTCACTGTCTAAATGTGGGACTTTAATTTTCTATTACTTTCAAACTGTTAGGAGGGCCCAATTTTTAATGTACCAGTAATTGATTTAAAACTAAATTTTTCATAGAAAAAGGTAATGTCAAACAGGCTAAGCCTCACAAGGAAAAGATCAACATCCAAGAAACCGTAAGTAGATAATTTTTATCCTCTTAAAACTTAGTTAATGGATGTTAAAAAAAACAATGAAAGCCCCCATTGGTGCCAAAGTTCTGTTGAATACAATAGATGTTACACCATGAAATATCTAACTAATTTCTGTCCAATTTCTGACCATTTCGATGGGGTTGACAAAAAAAGAAAGTATATAGTGCCTCTTTCCCGGAAAATCTAGTTTTAACAATAACAGAATTATTCATTAGTTTAGCTTGTGAGGATTTATTTAACGTTGAAGTAATTAAAATTCTCTTTCCAACAAAAGAGAATATTTTTAACTTGCCTTTGACCATTCTTATACACCTCAGCGATATAATTTAATAATTTTGATTATTTTGTGAACAACAAAATTTTTTCCAGAGTTGAAATATGGGCGAGGAAACTTGGAGACGAGCTTTGGCAGCTTGGCACTCACGTTTCCAAGTTTGACAGCATCATATCGGTAATATAATCAAAGTCTTACGTACTTTTAATACACAATTTCCCAACAAGTTTGATTTTAATTTTAATTTTTAAAATGTAATCAGTAAATATTTTTAAATCAAGTGATGTTTTAAGGATTATTTTTTTACAAAATTGATCAAACTTAGTAAATATAAATATTGGGGGCGCAACTAGGACAAAAATTTACTCTCAAGGTAGGTGAAGATGAGGGGTGCAATCATCTCTCCATCATAGCGCATCTCATCCAAATTGAGGACCAGCCTATCTTGCATCTACTATTGACCAATGGACTTGATTTCTATCTGAGATTTGGCAATGGGAAATGAAGAAGTTTACGAATGTTTAAATTAATTAATAAATTACGTTTAAATTAATCGTACATTAGAAGGGGGCTGCTGTGCCAATAGGAGTCTTATGAGCTACCAATCAAGTTAATGAGACTTATGTTTCATGAAATCAATCAGATTAATCGGCCGACAACGATTAATTGAAAAAATTCTACGACCAACAACGAGGAATTAAAAAAATTCTAACATCATAATTTTAGGAACCTTTGATTCTATATTTGTCACTATTGATTTCATTGTAATTGTTTTTTTTTCAGAGCTACTCCACATTGAATGCCAGAGTCCTGCCTACAAATGGAGAAGCAATTCTCAGTTCCATAGTTGATAATGTTAGCAAACTGTTGAAGAAAAAGATGGATGCAGTGATGGTAAGTCAAATTTAAAAATGTCTTACTTAGTGTGCAGGTTATTTTTGTACCGGGTGCTAGGCTCGAGCCCATTGATTGTTTTCACATCACTTCAGGCTAGACCTAAGGATTACAGTATCACTTACATAAAATCCATTGGTGATCTGGTGGGATTTGAACCAGGGACCTCAAACAGTCATTCTACAGTAACTCTTCATTCTTATGAGGTCCCTTTGTAGAGGCAAAATTTCAAATTAATTATGTATTGAATTTGTTTGCTGTTAACCTAGACTCCTTCTTAGGTAAGTTTAGTTCATCCATTTTATCCTCTTTAATGTATTCCTGCCAAAAGTCTTTTCCTTTAAAAGTAATTCACATTTTTTCAGTGCATCATCGAGGCTGCCGAGGCTTTAGCGGAAGAAGCGGAGACTAACGTTACAGAACCCGTTAACTACAACAGTGCCAAGTGCTCTACGTTCATTGATCTGGAGACGGGAAATGAGACAGGGACGGAGCTCGTAAGCTGTGAGCGGGAAGACAATGACGAGCGGCCGTCAGATCTTTACAACAACATCACTGTCACTCCAGATCTGCACTTCTTCGGGATTCCAATCAGTACTAACACCAGCTCTGTACATATGCCGACTGATATTTACGACTACGGTGGGTCATGACTATGTTGTTACATTACTTTCAAATACTAAAGTAGACATAGGTCAATAAATGGAGACTGTTGAGGCTGCAGCCTTCCCCATTTGTCCTAGGACCCTAGGACTCTAACTCGGGGTTAATTAATTTCTTTAATTTATTTAATTTTTCACATTACTTTAGGCTAGACCTAGGGGGTTGCGGCATTATCACTTACAAAAACCTATTTCCTACAGTAGTGTATTCTATTATAATTGAAAGTCAAGGCGTATGATTGAAAGTCAAGTATGTAGTTACACAAAGCAATAAGGGATAATTTTGTAAACATTGTATCACATGGTTACAATAAATATAAACAATATCATAATCCGTAATAAATAAAAGAGCCAATTGTCCTGTTCTTAAATCTGTATTCTTACAACGTACTGAGAATAGTGTATGCTGTTTTTAACTACCCATTGAAGAATAAAACAAAGTTAAGAGAAGACATTTTGGAATTTAATTAATTAAAACTTCTTGGTATCCTCTTATGTTTGTATTTGTCATGCCACATATGCGTCTAGTATAGTCAACAAAACAAATAAATGAATAAAACAAACTGAAGGTAAATTGATACAGCTTCCAAATTTAAACATTACAATCCTAATAAATTGAAGAGTAGCAGGGAAGTTTAAGCATTGTACTTTCCTACGATTACACCGATTCTACAAAGCTTGTAGATTACAGATGTTAGATTTAGGATGTAGATTCCTGATTCTACAGTGAATGACACACTCAAATTTTTTATCAGCTTAATAGTGGTGTATAGTGGTGCGGGAACCCGTGGAAACGGCGTTCCTACTCAGCTTTTTTCCAAAGAACCTATATATTGTTAAGTGACCCGTATTCCTCCGCAACCTTGGTGAGCGGTCCCACACTAAAAAACTTATGACTACACCACTGTGGTCTCGGTGTTTGAATGTTTTTCCAAAAACATTTGAGCTAAACAAGGCTATATTTGCAGCAATGCCAGTACAAGCTGCCCTGAAGTGGTCTGAAGGTTTGGACGAATCGTTTAAGCAGAACTACGAGAGTGATCCCTCCCTGAAGTGGCAGTACTTCGGCAGTAGCACCGGCTTTCTCAGGATGTACCCAGGTACTGTTCGTGCAATCATCATAATAATTGTTATTAGGATAGACAATTAGACTGACAGCAGTGCTGCAGTTAGCATAAGTTCTGGCGTCCACCGCTAGGAGCATGCACTACGTAACTTTTGTAAAAGGTAACTTTTGACTCCAAACAACTGTTCAATGTTGTACAACATTGAACAGTTGTTTGGAGTCAAAAGTAAAAGTTACCTTTCACTTTAGATGTTGAGGTTTATATCTAATTGCACACTTTGCTAGACAAATAGAATTAAATATAGACGGAAAACAGTGCTACCATTACCATAATGGTGAAAACACCATTTTTAGCATCAGGTTTGGGTGAGAGGGATTGAAGCTGAAAAATTTGTAGTTTTTTGGTTTTTATAAACTCTAAAACTATGTGGTTTAGCACAAAATATATAATTTAAAAATATAATGTACAATAAATTGCAAACGAGAATAATCCACTCCATAATCTTGCGTAAGTTAGAGACATACAAAAGGTTAAAATTGAAAATCTTTCGAACATTTTGAACACTTTAAAAGTATGGTACTGCAATGCAAAGTACTAACTATTCAAAGTACTATACAAAGTTCTAACTTTGGAATAACAAGTTGTTCTATTCACAGCGCTCCAATGGAAGAAGGAGAACGATGTTTACGACTGCCGACAATCTCCTTGGTTCATAGAGGCTTCCACTTGCTCCAAAGATGTTGTCATTCTCTTAGACAGGTATGGACAATAGAGGATACACAATCATCCTCTGTATGCTTTTGTAGTCTACAGTCATGAGACAAATTCTACAGTTCGTGTTGGAATTAATAAGTAGTGTTGGTCCATAGAAATTCCTTTTCTCTGAAAGTGATCTCTCAACAGTTACAATCATTAGTGCTCTTGAGAGTATTGTGGTTCTTTCAGAGTAAGGTATGGATTGCAATTTATAGTGGCGAGCAGGTTGTGATGCATATTAGAAACCTTTCCCAACATTGCATTTTATTGTGTACAGTCATCTCAAAGGTTGCTGTCAAATCTCATTCAATACACATCTAGTAGGAGTAAAGTGGTGGGGGAAGTTTTCTGTCTCGCGCAATACTTTCCCTACAATCCATTCTTCTAATTGATACCATCTAAACAAAGGGTGCTCTGGGGTGGGGGGGTTGCGTAATCAATCAATCAATCAAAGTAACTTTATTCATATCACACATTTTGTACAGAATGGAGTCAGTTATAAAAACACAATATTAAACTTAAGACTTCTTACAGAGAATATTGTTACTATCAAAAAAATCTAATTTCAAAAAATTAGAGTAGTTTTGGAGGTATAGGTCGGCCGCTTAGAAAGCGACCTCCTCCAGCATTGGTTTAGCATTAGCGCACAGGTCGTTTTCTAAGCGGCCGAACTATAGTAAAACTGTAATGGCGCCACTGGTAATCTATCTTTTTTGGGTACATAACTACATATTGCTGATAATTTATAAAGTTTTTATAGGAAACCCTTTACATGTTTTTGTCAAACTCATACACTCTATTAAAACTTGCAACCCAGGGTTATGGCAATTTACAACTTCATAATTTATATTTTTATCTCAAAATATACACTAATGGAAAATTCCACCAACATTTCAAACAATAGTCTAACATAATTAATGTCAGATCATATTGTTCCTTCCTCGATCTTATTGATCAAGAAAGTAAAGGACAATTATATATGTATTTAATATTCATAACATAACACTTTTCAGGTCAGGATCAATGAAGGGGATGAGTGACTCTATAGCTAAACTGGCCGTCACACAGATCCTGTCAACCTTCAGTAATAATGACTTCATCAACATCATCGGCTTCAACACCTCGCTGCTGGACATGGTTCCTTGCTTCAAAAAAGATATGCTTGTTCAGGTGACTCAACCACTATATTCAACTCAGATGTTCCCTCTGAATAATTCTCTTGGTTGTGAATTTTTTACCTCTAACAAGCTAAGACCGAATTATTTTAAGTCTTAGAGATAAAGCTCTTTAGAGTTAAAAGGTTCGGCTACCATACGGAAAGGAAACGGACAGGATATGGAAAGAAAACAAGGAAACTGCCAGGAAAAATTAAAATATATTTTTTCAAGCAGCCGAACGATTTCCAACTGAATGGACACCACATCCAAATCAGAGAGTTTTTGTCTGAGTCCCTTATATTTCCTTTCCTGCATGTAGCAAAAGGAAAAGGACATGAAACACGCTAAAATTAAATGACAAGAAAATGTTGATTGATTGCTCTACCCCGCGAGTGTCATGTGTTGTGAGATGTCTTGTTTTGTGTAATACCTTACATTTGATAAAACAGAAAGTATTTGCCAAAACTGTCTTTTCCCTGTGTCTTCCTTACCTATTTAGGGTCGCCCAAGCTTAAAAACCAATGATTGATTTGACATTTGAGTCAGGACATCAAAAAGTTCAAAACATTTTACTGTATTTGACATCTAAATGTTAGAGACAAGATTTTATGAATAATTAAGGTACCGTATACATTTTCAGGCTACAGAAGAGAACATAAGGACTTTTAGAGACTATGTTCTTGAGAGTCAGCCGACAGGGAAAGCCAATTTTACTACTGCTTTTACCGGAGCTTTCACATTACTTCAGAAGGTAAGAAACACATACAAAATTTCCTTCCCTTTAGTTATACTATTTTATTTTACTATTTGATTTGCCTCACTTAAGCACAGTTTGTTCAATGTGCTTTTTAAAATTTGTTCACTTTTTAGTCTTCTTGCAAAAAAGTTTTTTTTAAGTTTTCGCAATATGTACACACATCTACTATCTCCAACAGAGGTATAAAATTTACACTCATTCTTGATTAATAAAACAAACCCATGCCGTTTCATTTGATCATGATTATGTTTCTTTTCACTAGATATGCTGTCAAACTATGGTGTGATTTTGTTAATAGTTAAAATGTTTGCTTTGCAGTACCGAGAAACAAAAACCTGTCCGGACAAGACATGTAACCAGGCGATCATGCTGATAACGGACAGCGTAGCCGGAAACTTAACCGAGGTGTTCGAGACTTACAACTGGTTCCAGAACAGAACGCAGATTCCAGTCAGAGTGTTCACTTATCTGATCGGAAAAGAGGTCACGAAAGTGAGGGAGATTCAATGGATGGCGTGTCTAAATCGAGGTTTGTCTACTTGTGTTACCTAGGTAAAACTTTGCCTATTGATATAACTAAACTTTTAATCCCCAAAATTGTTGGTGGTTCAATTCAAAGTGTACATAATTTAATAGATTTACCGACAGGGCGTTGATGTCAATTGTTGATTTGTGTCAAATAAGCTAACTTTTTAAGTAAGCCAGGCTTTAAGAAACACATCCTGTAAGCTATAGAATCTTCGATGACACCTAAAATTAAGTAGGCCTATTGAAAAAAAGAGATTTAGAATTTTGTAGCACTATAAACAGTGGCAGCCCTAGAGATTTCTGGGCCCAAGGCAAAGCTCAATAGAGAGGTCTTAATACCTAAAATACGGTCCCCAAAAAGCGTGGGGCCTCAGGATTAGTTGACTAGAAAGCTTTTATTTGTGCTTTCAGGTTACTACGTTCACATAGAAGCTCACAGTGAAGTACGAGACCAAATCCTCAAGTACATTCCAGTCATCGCCAGACCTTTAGTCCTGCAAGCTGTTGATCACCCCTTGTCTTGGACACATTCTTTCATCGACTTCAAGGTAAATTGATTCTCGATCTCTGTAGACTGTTGTGATCGGTGTCAGTATCCATTGATGTTTAGGTGTCAACTAAGTCATCAAATGTGGAGTCCCAGCTATATGTTTCCGAGCCTTTCCACCTCATAGGGTCAAACATCTGGGAGTGAGTCAGATCTGTGGTTGACGCTGAAAACATTGCTGAACTTTACTCGTAAGGAAATTAATTGTATGATTGAATACAGTATTTGTTAAATTGGTTTAAATCAAATAAATCTTATTAAAATGATGGCTTTAACACTTTTAAACACTGTTTAGCGTTAATATGATTAAGAATCTGTTAAAATATTGATTTTACCTTACAACAGTTAAATCTTGGTACCGTATGTTAAAATGCTGTTTAGAAATAATTTTTTAGGTTTGTTTTTGGATTGCCAGAGAGTGGTGCAATCATAAATAATAAAAATTATTTGTGTTGCTGACGCTTTTTAAGCTATCAACACACAAACATCCCCTATTTGGGTAAGAACCTTTAATTATATTTCCAAAGACCTATTGTGCATGATAAAATTATTAAAAGGTATAAGGGTATTTTTTACCTTGTTTTCCACACTTTGTGCTTACCTAGGATAGGGCGTTTTTTCGTTTTCCGTACTAAATAAGATTGACATTTCTGTACTTCGGATTGGTTGTGGCAGGATCCCAAAGTAGAGCGATGGCTGATAGATTCGATGGCGTTCGCAGAACAGGAAGAACGCCTATCTAAGCACACGGCAACTCAGAACAACTACTTTTCCCAGAGTAAACAAGACAATTTGTATATTCTGAGATTTAAGAAGGTAGACGTTTTCATGTTGTGCCCCCCGGCATGGCATGTCTCCATAGCTTTTGTACAGTTTCATGCATGGAAACTGTAAATGGGGTTGAGAATGTGTTCGGAAAAATTTTAAGTTTACAGAATTCAATGTACAAAAACAAACACGCACAGTTTGACAGTGTAGGAAAAGGAGATCTGCGTTTAAAATTTGTTTAGACATTTGCAAACCTTAAACATTCAAATCATATAGAGTAGTTGTAGTAACACTTACAAAGTTCATATAAAAGACAGTCAATGTTTTCTTATTGAATAATAACAGCACAGGTTATTCCTTTACCTACAATGTTGGACAATACTTATTTCTAATGTCCTGTGCTTGTGTGTTACAGGTGACATAATTTTGTGTTAGTTATAAGTTGATTATTGTGTTTTTGCCATTATCTTGAAAATACAAGGACAAGGAAAATTCGCCTAAGGTATAATAATGTTGACAAAAGTAGTAAAAACCAGTAGAAATATTGTAGGGTTTTAAATTTGCATATGTACACAAAAGCATACTGAACAAAACACTTTGAAATATTTCAATTAATTAATAGGTATTTTTTGGGGTTTATTTTAAAATGTTATGTCTAATTATTGCTTGTGCTTCTCTCTCACTCTTTCCTTGCATGTGAAGGTTTTGTCGCTAATTGTTTGTTGTCGGTAGAGCTTGGTTTGCTTTTTGTTTTGCTTTTCATACGTGTGTCTGTGTGTTATTTTCTTTTCTTGATAGGAAAATTTTCCTCTGTTAGGAGTAATTTTTTATGACACCTTTGCTATTTTTATTAAATATATTTAAGTTGTGTAATCTACCAGTACCTGTTACAACATTACCAGTACTTAAAATTAAAACACATAAAATAATCATGTGTAAAATGGCTACCTGATTCAATTTTTAAAGTAGCATATGTATGACAAATCTGAGGTAAAGTCTAGGTATCAATACATATACTCGTAGCAATGTGATGGGTTAAAATCCCAGTACTATTGTCATATTATAGTAATGACATATAGTTTATTCTTGTACTTTTTAGGCTTGACCCTTATATTGATTGTTACATTCTATTCTTTACAATTACTCGAAGCCCAAAAGTATAAATAAAAGGCAAGTTTAAAGTGGGTGAAAAAAATATTTAAAATTTTTCAAGGCTTATCACAAAATATGTTGCTAAAATTTTTTTCTTTTTATAAGATTTTCGGTGTTTAGGTATACCTAACCATTGAAGATTTATGAAATTCTTTGAGTATAGTAAAAATAATTTACTCAACAATAAGTGCTGCTATTCATCAATCTATTCAAGAATTGTAAAACTCACAAAACCTAATTGTAGTTATAAGTAACTGAATTTTATTTGTCTTAACTAGTTCTACTTTATTCTACAGTACAAGTCCTAGTGTTTAGTAAACCAACGCTTCTCAATAAAAAAACCTGTAGTAACCCATAGTATTTAATTTATTTTATGTGTCTTTGTTCAATTATAATTTGCAGTCGGTCAAGCTTTGTGTCCTAAATCTACGCTTTTGTTGTATTATAAAGTAACATTTGCTAATGTATCTATCGGCATAGTAAACTTATAGCAAAGCTTGAAATCGCTCTAATGAAATGTATAGATTTACCTATGTTTTATCTTATCTGATACGTACGAAAAACTGAAAAACTCTTTATTTATACAGCATTTTGATAGAACTTTGACATTTAAAAATTGGTATTTGATGAATTTTTCAAAACAACTTTTAGGGAGCTGAAGATGGTGGGCTAGAGGTAACATTCTGTGAAGGGATGCAGAAAATATACGAAGAAGAAGAATTCAACCTTACGCCAAAACTGCAAGAGTACCATTTGATGACATCCGTGTCGGGGCCCGCTTTTGACCATAAAGTAAACCGTGGAAATGAGGTGAGGTTATTTGGATAGTCTTAAAACTTTTTTTTGGTTTTGTCATTATCAAGGACTTAAATTTATTACTTACTAGCAGAGCACCCGTCCTTCGTACGGGGTTGGCATATAAGTATAAAATGCTTATTACAGTTATACTCAAGCTTTGCGTTTTCAATGGGGGGGAGGACACAGTTTGATAAAATTTGGTTCATAAATTTACGGTATGATATAGTATAACACATCTACCATTGCCATAATGTTCTACCATTGCACCTAAACAATAGAAAAAATTAAATTATCAAAAATTTGCACAATATCACAAACTATTCATTACATTAAAAACTCAACCCTCACATCGTGTAAACAATCCTACTTTGACAGTTCTCATTGCGAATCACAGTTTTTTGTTGCATCTTAGTTCAAATTAGCTGTTGTCATATATGCACAAACAAAATATTAATAGTGCTGCGCCCTGTTGGGAAACCTTATAACTTTTTAATGCTATTGCATATTATAGAACCAACTTGTAAAGTTGAAACAGCTGACTAAATTCTTTAATTCCCTTTAAATATGAATACTCATAAGGTTGACATGGGGAACTACAGACCCACTGGGGCGGAGCCCGAAAGGATTTTTGAGATAAGAATATGCCTAAATGTTAATAGGGAATGTGAGTTGTCATCATGCCAAATTTCAGCCCAATCCGTCCAGTAGTTTATGCGTGATTGAGCAACACACAAACTTTCAGATTTATAATATTAGTAAGATTGCATTTTTTTATGTGTTTACTGGTGTAGTGGCTTCAGGAGTTCTTCTTATATTGTCTTACATAACTCACACTTATATATTTGCAAAACATTTATCCATGATTAAGTCACAGGCGTTACGTTCTGACCAAATGGGTACCTAACGCGATGACGGACACGCTGCCGGGCCATGGTAGCGAGAGGTGTTTCGTTTCCTTGTATTTGTGTTTCCTTGTTACCTATGCGAGAAGATAATATAAGAAGATCCCCTGAAGATGAGACTAATGCAAATGTACATAGGGTACTGCTAAGCTAATACATCAAGAACAGCGGCAACAAAAATGTTTTGGTAAAAATTAACAAAACATTTCTTGCGAGGTAAAGAGGTTAACTACCACTATCAGGGATAATATAGTTTATTCATTTCACAATATTGTTCTTGTCATTCCATTTCACTCATATTTCACTATTAACTTATCTCCTCCTTTTTTTCGACTTTCTAATTGATTAGCCTAAATAATCAAACACACAGGCTCGCAGCCCATGTCGGCTTATTTCCTAAAACTGTATACAATTTTTTTCAAACATACGAGTGAGTATAAGGTTAATTTAATTTATTACACTATAAATTTCACGTTTATGTTTATTGTTTTCTCCATTGAATAGTTTTGTACATTTTTGTAACTCTTGCCGGGATAAAGATATAATTAATGCATTCAATACTACAGTGAATTCCTTACCATCCAGAAGGAAAAATACTCCAAACCTTTGGGAGTTAATAGAAAAATGCTTGACTGTGTTCTTAACTCATAACATATTTTGGAGTGCTAAATTAGTAAACTGCAGTGCCTTATAGAACCATCCAGGGTTCCAAATAAACAGATTAAAACAATACCCAGCAGCAAACCTGTGGACTAAGCGAATTTCCATTTGTCTGAAATAGATTTTCAATTAAATATACTTAAATAGCATTAGGTTTAACGCTAGTTCAATGATTGCATACAGCTAATTTATTAATAAACAATTGATTTATTTTTCAGTCTCGGGAAGCACAGCTCTTAGGGGTGGCTGGGACTGATGTCCCCATCAAGGACATCGAGAAACTAACCTTACCTTACAAGGTATGGTCATTATGAATTAAAAAATAATGCAATTTAATACCTTTTTGGTAAAGCGTTTATATTATGAACTACACCTTTCTAAGACAAATATATCGGGGAGCGAGCTGGCGTAGTGGTTAGAGCGTGGGACTTCAGTCCCTGAGGTCCCAGGTTCGATCCCCGCCAAGTCACCAATGGATTTTATCTAAGTGATAATGCCGCAACCCCTAGGTGGAGCCTGAAGTAATGTGAAAAACAATCCCAGGCTCGTGCCTATAGCGTCCTAGGACAAAAAAAAGACAAATATATGTTGTGTTTTCATTTAGGCTACGGCCACACGGGCGTTTTTTCACGCGGTAAAATGTAGCTTATTTTCACGCTGCTTGAATTCCCGCTGTTGTATGCCACACGTGCGTTTTTTTCACGCGGAAAAATTAGCTTATTTTCACGCAGGTTGCGGCAGGAGCGGTAAAAAGCCGTGGGAACCCGCAGTTGATTGACAAATTCACGTAGTTATGTTGTATATCTTCCTCATGGCCGGAGAATAGTAACCTTGTTTCTGACTAGTGAACAAGAAATATGAATGGTATATTGATTTCTGTATGAAAACAATACTAAAATTATTTTTATTTTGTTAACCTTTCATTTAATTATTTACATTTAGTATAAAAAAAAATTTATATATTAATTTCGATACGAAAACAACCCAAAAATTATTTTATTTTGACATTTAGTAAAAAAAAAAATATAATATAAATATTTTTATGAGAAGATTTTCATCAGATCTTTGAATATTCTTCTACAAAAATGCCTCTTTACATTTTTCAGGCCAACTAAATGCCTTTCCTTTTAGTAACAAATTATTAAGTGGTCCAGTAAGGTCGACCTATGTTTAAGATAAAACGTGTACGTCTACTGTGTAATTGGCTAGATCCAAAATATTTTACACTATCCTGGACAAAATTAGATACATTTATATTTATTTTAACTTGCTAGGACGATTTGATCAAAGCTGCGTGTTGCTCCCGCCCGTGTGGCCAGGGACAGAGCGTGAAAACAAGCTTCAAAAATGCACCCCAGTCCATTCTTTTGCGGGCCCGCGGCGGTCGATTTTGAAGACGCGCCTAATCTGCGTGAAAACACACTCCGTGTGGCATACCTCATTACATTTAATGCTGCCTATAATTCTCGCGTTATTTCATGCTGCGTTCTTGCGTGAAAAAACGCCCGTGTGGCCGTAGCCTTATGGAGGAATAGGATCCCAGACCCCAAGGACAACTTCACTACACAATAGAAAAACAAAGAGATTTAAAATGTCTTGTTTTGTTTTTGGGGTAAAATTGATTTTATTCACTTGGCACAAATCACTGAGCTTTGTTTACTGATAAGTTGCATCAGTAGACAAAAACACCAGAACTGTAAAAAAATAAAAAATTACAAATAATGTGTGAGGGTATTGATGTGTATTTATGTTGTTGGTTGACTTAATGTTTTTCTCTTAGGGTAAAATTTCTGATTTATTCAACTTTTTGGCTATAAAAACATATAGGTTATACAGTATACTTAGTGGAAATAGTTCAAAGTTGGTCAAATAACAAGAAACAAGCAACAAAACTACTAAAAGGCCTCTTTACTTAAACCAGAGATAACTAAACTCCAATTTTCTACTGATGACCAAAAAGGATGATAAATTTAGAAGGGAGTATGTTTAATCCGTAGCTATATAAACCAAGTTCTTCCAGGCTGCATGGTTAACCACTTGTTCTGTTGATAGATTGGAGCCAATGGTTATGCATTTATGATAACGAACAACGGCTACATGATGATGCACCCAGACTTCAGACCTGTGGTGAGTGAAATACTGTCATAAACACTGATTTTGGTTCAATATGTTCCCTCGTCATCATTGGAGCTCACAGAGTATAGGGCCTGAACACCCTTTAACAAAGAAAACAAAAGCCCTTTTACAACAAACGTCATTGAAGTTTGCAAGAGTATAGAGACTAAAATGCAGTTTTACTAGAAATCATGAAAAGGAAGTAATTAAAAAAACAGGAAGTTCTCCTAGATAGAGCGAGCTTGCAATAACAGAATTCAGTTATGAATATGAATATAATATTGTTTTCTTTGTTTAGTCTACAGAGATTAGAGATAGGATTGTTTTATGATGAAATTTGAGTTGTATATTAAGGAAGAAGGAATGGGTACATAACTAAATTAACTAAGAAAAGAGCTTTAGGCAGTTAAAATCACACAAAACAATAAAATTTATATTTCACCTATACTTCTCCAGAAAAAAGAAGTTGAATATTTCAAAAATCAACTTCTTTCGAAATATATAGTTTATTGTGTTGTGAAAATTTTGTGTGCTTTTAACTATACCTGGAACTTATTTGTTAGGTAAGTTAGTTGTGTACCTATTCCTTCTTCCTTAACACATTCCTAAACTCAGTGCGTTTTCTTCTAAAAAAACTTAAGTTAAACTTTTTTACTGTAATCTGTAGATTATTCGTATTGGAAATGCCATTTAATTCATATTGTGGTTGTAGATTATCAAAAGAACGTAAATTGTGTTTGGTGATAATTTGACAATGTTTTTTTATTTAATTGCCAAGAAAGACAGCAATGCAGCCATCTTGTGTACAATTTAGTTTCTACCTTGTAAAAAGGTTGAAATAGAGATGACTTTTCTTTGAAATTATTTTTACATCATGATAACATCCATTTTCAACACATAATTTATGACAGTCACCCACCCTTTTTACTCTTAATATCTTTACAAACATTGTTTCACAAAATTGTTGTCATGTATGACATATTCTGCACTTGTATAAACACGTCCCAGTAACTTTCAGCACTTTTTTCTGTCCAGTCGCAAGGCAAGTTGAGGGCAAACTACGGCAGTGTGGACTTGACAGAGGTTGAACTGATGGACGACGATGAGATTACTCCGAGACAACCTCACGAGAAGATATTACAGGTAATCTTCGTAACCATAGTCTAACGTTAAGAAATCCATCTAGCACTCATTTCTATTTAGATTTTTTTCCTATTATAAAAATCTAAACATTTATTGATATGTGGCAAATAGTTTGGGTTCAAGAAAATTTGGTTTAAGCTATTGTAGAAATTTTAATTCAAGTAGAAATCCAACCAATAGGAAGCACTGCTGTGGTTGGAGCGCAGGGCACCTTTGCTGGGGCATGTTCAAATCCCCGTAGTTAGCAATGGATCCTAGCCTTGTGATAATGACTTGACACACCTTCAAATCCTGGTCTAAAATTTCCTAAATAAAATAGATATGGTAGACCACTTCTGTTTTTCCTATAGGAGTTAACAATGACTATAGTTTCTTGTTATTCCTCTACCCTTTAGAGGTTAACTAGTCATGCAACGAGGTTGATGAATGCTCGATGTAAATATGACTAAAAATATGACTATAGTTTACCATTGTGAAGTCAAAACCGATTTTGTACGGCATGGTTTATGAAGGAATATAGTCAGACAGACCTAAAAAGGCATGTGTGTCCAGTGCCATAAGGTAGAAAAAGAGGTAGATTATGGTAGGAAATAATGCTGTTTCACATAAATATTATTATGCATCTCAACCAGCAGCTATCTCAGCTTGAGTGTAATGACCTAACCTTTACTTTGATGATAGTATAATTTTGACTCAATCTGCGGAATGCCTTCCTAGGCATGTCTGACTTTAACGTTATGAATGCTGTCATTTGATTTACTTGTAACAACTTTATACGAGTAGTTTGTAATCAATTGTTGATGAATATTCAAATTTTTTTCAGCTGCGAGAGGCCATGATCAACAAGACAGGGGGTCAAGTTAGCAATATTCCTCATCTCAATATGAAATTCCATTACGATGACATGGTGAGGAAAATTACGTTATTTAGATAATAATATCTAAGTTTATTTAACGTGCTAGGGTTTTTCATTTCTAGAACTTTTCTATACGCTTTAACCAATTTAATGATTTTAGTGTTGTTTGATGTTAAGTTATCTCTGTAAAAATGTTACAAATGGATTAAACCACAAGAGAATGCCAAAATCCCCCCTCTCTTCCTGGAAGTCTTAAACACAGTACTGTATTCCAGTTAAAATTGATGTAATTCAATTGTTGCTAATAAGACAATTAACTACGGTATAGTAATCATATTTCGTCAACTATTGACACAGAATTCTATTGATAAACAGAAGAAGGAAATCAAATGCGCCCTTATTAGTCACTTAAAAATATCATCTTCTCTGTATTGTTTTCTGTACTGTGTCTGTATGTCAATTATCTACTAATATCAGTTGTTTACTAAAAATTGAATGGGTTTTTGCATAGACAAAAATAATTAAATATAGACTGTCAGCTGTGCTGTGGTTACCATAGGTTCTGGTGCGCACCACTGGGAGTGCCGTGTAGTTACGTAGCGCGTAGGCCGTAACTACATGACGCTCCAAGTGGTGTGTGCCAGAACCTATGGTAACCGCAGGACAGCTGACGATCTATATTTAGTTCTTTTTGGCTATGGTTTTTGGGATCTGATATCTATTTGCAATCACCTGTTCCATGTGAACATGACATAGTTTTTATATCTCAAATAACGGGAAAGATTTAAAGTATCATTTCAAAAATTTAACAGCTCAATTACACCTGAGTTAACAAAACATGTTTTAAAGAAAAGTTTACAACATTCCAAAGGAGGTTAATTTTTATTGAACCAAATCCTAATGTTTATCAGTGTACAAAACAAATTTGTTTCTACAAGATGATTTTACACTTGTCCTTTTACAAGCAAAATCTATACCTAACAGAATTATCAACAGCATTTTTACACTTTTTTGTGAACTCAAGTGTCTTTAAGCCAAAGACTAGACCAGTGCTAGGAACTCCTACAGCTCCTGATATATCTAACACGATTGTGACTGTACATAATATTATGTAGAAAACTAATGAATCTCTTTTTCAGAAACGAGTCGGAGCTGAGAGTCGGAACTACTACTTTGCTGGTATCGAGGGGACTCCGTTCACCATGGGCCTGGCACTGCCAGAGGGCTACGGGAACTACTGGATCAAGGCAGGAAACATCATAAAACGCTCAAAACTGGAAGGTAGAGAAAATACTTTAACAAATAATGGCTATAACGTAGTTCATCTAATAAAACACTACATTTTGGATGGACAATTTATCAAATTAATATCATTCTACTCCTCTAAGAGATGTTATGGCTACCTCGGTATTCAAACTTTAAAATAACAAAATGTCCAAGTGGTATCAGCAATCTGAAACATGCTTTCTTCCATTAGCTTGTCAACAACCATTATCATGGGCAAACGGAGAGAATAACTATATATTTTATGCGGATAATCCCAAAGTATATTTCATGAAAGTAACGATAACTTTGAAACATAATTTTTATTCTTTAGCTGAATAAAAAAAACACATAAACTAAATTTTAAACAAAATTTTTTGAAAATCTGATTTTTAATTTATTTTAAAGGTTTTTTTAAATGGCAAAATCGCCATTAAAAGTCAAAAACTAAAAAAATCCTGACGATACCACTAACTAGTACCCACATACTAAGTTTTACTAAAACCGGACTATATAGGTGTAGACTGGAACTCTATACACATCCACACACACTTCTACAAATCACAAAGATATTGGAACTTTATATTTTTTATTTGGTATTTGATCTGGAATAGTAGGAATAACAGGCGCACACTTAGACATCACAAACCACTTTTTTGGATTCAGAAGGATATTTTCACCCTAAGTCCACCTCAAAAATTTTGACAAAAACAACACTTTTTATATACTTTATGTAACTTACATGGTTAGAAAGTAAAATAAAAATAAGTTGGAGCGTAAGTACAGTGTTGTCCAGTTTTGTTACAGGTGTTCCTCTCACTAGCTACTTCACCGGTAACTGGAAGGTTCATCCAGACTGGTAAGTTCTTAGTGCTATCACAATTATCAGTTAAGCAAATGAGTAAACAGTACAAAACTGTATTATTCATAAGAATAGATCAAGATCAAAATCAACCTATCAACTACAGTACAACAACAATGCTAGCTAGGTAGCTGAATGGAATGGATATAGTAGCCTGGTAATAAGGTCGCCAGGTTCGATCCTGAGAACAGTTAGAAGCTTTTTTATGCATCAAAATTGGACTCCGCTGTCCGTTGGGACTGCTTGACTGTTGGGCTGTTATCCTACTGTATTTGGAACTAAGAAACAAACTAAGAACATGGAATTAAAAACAGTTTTGAAAATAAAAATAGGAAAGAAGTAAAATTTTTGGGGTTGGAAATTTTACTCAATAGATGGTTTAGGAATTCAAAAGTGTTTTGTTTCCAACACAAGTAACGAGACCACAGTTTACCTTATAGTTGAGCCCTAACTTCTAAGTAAGTCAGACGGAATAGTTGAAATTACTTCTAATTATGTGGGATGAGATTTCACCATATCCCAGCATTTGTACTAATGCAAAATCGGAAACAATTTTTTATTGTTTTGAATATTTCAGGGTGTACTGTGACCATTTCATTGCTCGAAAAGACATGACTCATGAAGAGAAACTGGTTTACTTTCTGAAGAAAATTCAGAATGAAAAACTTGGTACTCAAAACGGATGGAAGACGAAGGTTCAATTCCCACCAGAGCCCGCTTATAAAGACGGAGATCTTAATTGTGAGTAGAATGTGAACTATTGTTTAGTTTGTTTGGGAACAGAGGTGGTTCCAAGTTGGGGGGGGGGGGGCTACAGGGGTGAAAGCTTCTTCACTTTGGACCCTGGAAAAATTAATTTAAACATACATTTTGAAACAACAAGAGGTTTTGGATTGATAATATTTTTAAAAAGTCACCAAACTGATTTAAAAACACAAAATTTTTCCCCAGGGCCATCTCCTTTTGGAGGGTGTAGAACAGAATGCAAGTTAGTCTTTAGAAAAATATGTTTGTCATAGATCAATTTTCTTGCAACGCCTTTGAATTTTAATACAGCTAAAACATTTTGTATAAGAAGACAGCAAAAGTTAACCCACTTTGAGGCTGAACAGATAAGTAAAGAGTCTATTAAACTTGTACTTAAGTACTCTGCGAATTGATAACTCACCAATTCAAGCTGGGTGTGTTGCCAGCCTAGTGGTTAGCGTCTCGGACTTTGCTGCGGGAGGGACGGGTTCAATCCCCGGCACATCCACAAAACTTTAATGGGTTTGGACCGCTTTCCCTTAAAAGTGTTTGACTTCTTAAAAAAATGCCACTGGCGTAGATACGAAAAAAAAAATAAAACAAAAATACAGTAATTTGTTTTCTTTCAGCTCAATGGACTGTTATTTATGTACAATCAAACATCTAAAGCTTAGAGTTGTTTATTTTTTGGCTTGAACTGTACTTGTGCTTTTCAGATACATGCAACACTAACAAAGTGAAAGAGGACGAATATTTCTGTGAGTAGATTTTAAAAATGTATCAAACAAAATATTTAACTATGGAGTTATGCTTTTGAATAATGTGAAGCTTACTAATTGTGATCAGGGGGTGCATTTAATACAATTTTCCTATAAAAATTGAATTTTTCTGTTAAAAATTGATTGTAAAGTTAATTTAATTGGCTATGGTGCGCAACAATGTAAGATGTATCATCTTACTGCAGCAAAAATCCCTGTTTTTAATACTTATACTTTGATGTTCAGGTGAGGTGGTTTTAGTATAACTAACCTACTTTGATTACTTGATTAATAACTTCCCTATTTTGAAGACGTACAGCCAAAAAAAGAAAAATTGTCTTGTGTCATAAAACTATCTGTTCATTATATACACGTAGTTTGGTCCTGAATTTCAAACAGTGTTCATAAACTTGTCATTATATTGCAAAATTGTAACCACTCACCTATCTAAACATTCAATCCCTTGGTTAACTATGTTATAACGTAACGTTGGACGACATAATACCTTTGGTTGGTGTACTATATCTACAGTACAGCAGTGTTGTTAATATTAATTTTTGATGCACAGGTGACGTGGAGTTGATGCAACTTCTGGTGTTTGATGCTAAAAGCACCGACTCATCTTATAAAGATGTGGTGTGGACTCCCGACAACAATATTGAGTAAGTTTCATAAAAAAAATGAAACAACTACTTATACAAAAGAAATGTATGTCTTCACTTAGTATGCGTAAGCTAATTGTAGAAATGTATAAAAAGTACACATTGGTAACCAGTTAACATGTTGAACTCAAATAATTGTGAAGAAACCAGTTTACCTTCTTAATTAGGAATATTTAGAATAAAAAAATGACACAAACAATGGTGAATAAATTAGATAAAAAGTTATGTTAAAACAGCATTTACATCATCTACTGATTTTGTGGGAAGGTCTATCTTGACTTGTAAAATAAAAATAATATAGGAACTATTGATGTTAGTATCTTTTAGTTTTGGCGATCAAGGAAGTAATGAAGGAATAAAACTTGACTTATTTACAGTTTTAATTGACTGAGTGATAATTTCATACAGTAGAACCCCTCATATCCGGCCTTGGTTTTACCGGTCCTCTGTTTATCCGGCCCCTTCCAGGAAGCCAATATCAAAATGTTTTTCTCACAGCTTACAGACGTTTAGATGCAAGCACTAGTCTTTGTGACCGCTCAAGTCATAAAATAAATTGTTCTCTTTACTTATCTGTTTGTATATACATTTATTTGCTGAGTCACTATACTCAGTTGAGCTAGAAGGCCTAACCTCTGATCAGTTGGTTGATTATTTCCAAAGTGGGGTTAGTACAGTGCAATACATTAATTTTTGTATTTCACAAAATGGATAAGAATGTTGAGTAGAAATGCATGTACCATTTAAGTCCTAATTATCTTCAAGTACAATTTATTGTCATTTTTACCTTTTTAATAGGGTTTGTTACCTGAAATCATAATATTTGTACATTTATTACTTAATGACTTTAACCTACAAATATTTTTTTCTTTTTAGAAACATGTTTATTTTTCTAAAAATGATCCCAGAACAGAATTAAATGATACTTTTGATTGTATATATTGATTACCTATTATTATTAGGTATGTATTGTCATTTTCATAGTAGGTTGGTTTATCCGGCCAAATCGTTATCCGGCCAGGGGCTTGGTCCCGTGGTGGCCGGATATGAGGGGTTCTACTGTACCATTAAATATCTGTACGAGAGATCTCCCTTCATGAAAAGCCATAGGATAATTTTTATGGGTTATCTTACGGTTGCTATGAAGGTATTAATCTTACGGTGTTTTTCAGGAGGGATTTGGTAAAGAAGTACGGAGTATCAGTGAGATTTGTAGCAACCCAGAGCGGACTTACGAGATGGCAACACATAACGGAACTTGCGGACGGAGAGCTGTAAGTAGAATGTGAACAAAAGATTAGTTTTAGTTAAATGAAAAAATAGTAGTTGTGAAGTTTTGTCTATGTCTATTGCTTGTGAAAATGAGAATCCAGTTTTTAATTGGCGAATTCATTAAATCATGATGCCAAATCATCAGGAAGGCAAAGATGAAAAGATAAAAGGATGTCGAGATAAAAGCGCTTTCATCCGTGGATGAGTTTGTCATTGTCAATATATAATGTCTGACAACCTGAAGATGTGTCCCAGCGGCATGAAACAGCTGTAGTTGATTCTAACAACATCAAGGATCGTTTGAAGCAAAAGTTAACAGAAACCATTTTATATTGCAATTGTTGATCCAAAGGCTTACCTATCATAAAAAAATAAATAAAAACTATGCGTTCAATAGTTCTTTGTTTCTCAAAGATATTTTCTTTAACACTATGTTTTTTTGTCCTAAATATCTTACAAAAGTAAATAAAAACTGTCACAGAGAGTTTGGCGAGACGAACAACAAGGCAGTGGGAGAACCTTGGTACCGAGCAGCTGTTTTGCAACACTACATCAACGATGAAGACTTTGTGTTCTCAGTGCCTTTTGATTCAGGTCAGTACTACCAAAGAACTCCTTCCTTTACTTGTAAGTATTTGTTTTATTGAATGGTTGTTTGAAATTACTTATCGTTTATTGATAAGCTAAAAAGAATTAATTTACTTTTCTGCGTGCAGGCTGAGTGCCAATTGCCTAAAAACTTTGACGAGGGCCATTTTACAGCCTGAGGCTGGGCGGTGCGAGTGCCGTGCCGGCCAGGTATCAGACCGGTTCTACCAAACAGCGGGTTAGGATGAGCAAAACTTTGAGGGATAAGATAAAACTATCATAACCAAACTTGCTGATTATGAAAAATATTGAATAAAGGTTTACTAATCAAATCGATATTAGGGTAGCCCAGTTATGAAACTGTACCCAGTCTCCGTTACATCATGCCCAATACACCACCCCCTTCCACTAATACAACTCACCTGAATCACTCTTACCCTCCAGGGAGGCGTACAGCACTTGGGCCTACCTGACGGTTTTGACAGTTTATGACCCCCACGACAAAGAATAGGAATGGCACTCGCTCCGTTTCCCTTCTTTTCCACAAATTTGTTACCTTGCTTGTGATCAGAGCAACTGAAGAGACTACTCTTTGTCTTGTGTTCTCGGGAGTTTGCCTCAGCGTCAGACCTTCAGATTTGATTAGTACCATAAACACTCGGCTATCCAGACTTATGCAAATAAAACCTATTTGTATGTAATGACATGGTTGATGGAACGGGGCGACCTTGTCCCAGAGCACGTCAGCACAGAAAACATATTACTATAACCCAGAATGCCAACCGCGTGGTAAAAAGCATTAAGTGTTTTGAGAGAGCTTTACCTGTCAATCGTAGGCAGCGCCACCAGCGTTGCCATGCACTCAGCATAGCAACGCTGGTGGCGCTGCCTACGATTGACAGGCAAAGCTCTCTCAAAACACTTAATGCTTTTTACCATGCGGTTGGCATTCTGGGTTATAGTAGTATGTTTTCTGTGACGTCAGCCACAAATGGGGTTTTTGTGCTTCCCACTTGGTACATCAGAGTCCGTCAAACCTGAGTTGCTTCATGAACTGCAGCATCCTATGTATGAGCTCTTCCTGAGGAAGATGTGCTTTTGTCATTGTTCCAAGAATGACTCTCTGGGGTGTGTTGATGGCCCTTACCTCATTCAGAGCTGTGCAGTCATAGAAAAGTGCTTTCGTAATGTCATAGTTTATGATTAACTGTTTAAAGCAAAAGCTGTTTTTCACAAATAATTTACGAACTACATCAACAGCTCAAACTTATTACAACTCACTGTTACAGGCAACGTAGACAACCTCACTGTGACTGCTAGTTACGCCATCTTCCGCCGAGATGGAGGCAATGAAGCGCCCGGATCTGTGGTGGGCTTCCACCTCAGCCATTCTGCGTTGTTTGACCGCTTCAGAGATGTTACGGCAAAGACCAATGTAAGAGATGCAAAACCAGTTAGGAGTGTAATGTTGGGAAGATGACTTGAAAACTAAAAATGTCTAGAACAGTTTTAAGAACAGTCATTATCTAAAATATAAAATCCTTAGATTGAATTGTGGTTAGTGAATCAGATACCGGTAGTCTTTTACAAAACTTAACATTTTTTTTTAGAAATGTACATTAATTGTTAAATATATCTGTAGATGTATTGGATTAAGTATCTTCTTATTTTTATTTTGTTGCATATGTTTGTCAGGTTGAGTGTAAAAAAGGAACAGTTAACTTCGTCTCACTGAATAAAGAATTTTTAATTTAATTTAATTTCAAGTTAATAGTACAAAACTTCATACATCACAATCTCTCTTTTGTGTTGATTCCAGTGTAAAGACTGCCTAGACCCGTGCACCTCTGACACGACTGATTGTTACGTCATTGACGGCAACGGCTACATTCTGGTGTCGGAGAACCGACAGGAGACAGGAACGTTCTTTGGCCGGAAGGAGGGAGCGATCATGGAGGATATGATCTTGAAGAAGATCTTCCGGAAGATTCCGATGTTTGACTATCAAGCTATCTGCTTTCAAGTCACACACTTGAACAATGCAGCTGACATTCTGTGGACGGTAAATACTATTTTGACAGATGTTTTTTAAAGTTGGGCTAAAGTAGTTATTTTTGTCAAGAGAGTTACATAATCAGTTGAGGACATTAGATGTAAAATTTGGCAGCTTCCAAGTTCTTTTGCAGCATTTCTGCTGTGATGACTATAAAAAATTTGTTGAAAAATGTTTTGAAAACTGTTCCAGCCTATTCGCTACTTCCAATGGGTGATGCATTGGTTTCTATCACACATTGCTTGGCTCATTGTGGAAGCAAACTGGAATGAAGTTTTAGCGGCAAAATTCACTCATGAGGTGGCAGACATTGATGATGGTAAGAGAAAATTCTTTAAGCTGGTAGTTTAGTTTAAAAATGTTTCTATCCAACTTAAATGAAAATGCTTGAAAAACTCACACTATTATGTGTTTACAGTTTTGAATGATATTTTGAGAGATGAATTGATTTCATGATTCCATGAGCACTATTGATTATTCATTTATTAAATTTAGTCATGGGTTTCCATATCAAATGAAGATACAAATCTAATTCTTACTTTCCAGTGTGCAGTCATAGCACAAGTTCAGAAATCCCACAACTTCCCCCAAACAACAGCTGTTCATTTAGGTGGGCCTGTTCCCCCTTATTGGCACTGATAGGTGAGCTCATCACGAGTTCACACCAGACCTGATGAGCCGAGAATTGAACCCTTAATACAGTGCCCGGGCGAGGAGACAATGGCTTAGACCACTTGGTCATTAATTAGAAACAACAAATATTAAATACACAAACTACATTGGTCAACCCAAAGCCCGAGAGTAATAGTTCTCAGTTTGACTAATCGGTGGCAGCACATGTGCAAGTTACAGTTTTTAGCTGTTTTGTATTATGGCAAGGTTTAACTGAAGTCCACACTGAAGTGATCACGTAACCTACTGGCTGACACAATATTTTAAAACACTCAACACAAAAGTACAGTATCTTAAGTTCTACATATGGATATAAAAAATCTCTGTACTTTTCCAGACTACTATGATATGGAAGCAGATAACATCACCACAACGCCGATGCCGACCATAGACATCAGAACAGTGAAGGCTACGAAGGCTTGCAAGTCTTGCGACAAGTTCGGATATCTCTATCTTCTACAGAGCACCGAGAAACAGGCCAAATACAGATCTTCACACGAGGATCCTTGCCACAGGTGACAACTTAGATAAGATTTTACACTAGATTTTTACAACTGACACACTGAGGCGCGTATTTTAACATGTTGAGTTCGGTTGCGCGATGGCCAGCCGCAGCCGGCGACTAATACGCTGCATGATTGAGTGCGCGAAAACGTTTTGATTTAAACGTTTTCATCCAAAGGAGAGGCATAAATTTGCATGTACTGTGTTCCAGTCGTTGTGAACGTAGTTTTACAAGAACCTATCTAGAATCTAGAATCTATCTAGCAGCTCGAAACAAAACTGATAGCAGGCTCTCAGTATTTCCAATTTGAGGGAAAAAGCAGGGGCGAAAAACCCGGATACGCCATAAAAATACAGCAAAAAAGGCGTCAAAAACAATTTTGAGGTTAAGTTCCTTCCACGATGCTACACTACAGTCATTATAGTTATTCAATTGCCATCATAGTTACTTTACCTAACTGCTGTGGCCATTCAAACCGAAGTAGGTTTTTGGCCTCCGCAACGATGTGTCTCCAGTCTTCCCGTTCCTCATCTTGCTCCCACGTAACTCCTAGTCTTCTCAGGTATTTTTCCACTAGAGCTTTCCATCTAGAGATTGGCCTTCCTAGTGGTCTGGTGCCTGCTGGCCTCCCCTCAAATACTTCTTTAATAAGAGCATTATCACGTCTTCTCGCCACTAAATCTATTCCACGTCACTAAATCCAATCCACACTAAAAAAAAAGAACTTGAACCGTGTCCACCAATAAAATAAAAATACGCAATAAACGAGTAAAACATCGTCTCACAACAATGGCTAACCTCATACTGCAAAATAGTTTGTAAAGACGCCTTGACAAGTGAGTATACTTGTCGTGCGCCACTAAGAAGCGCTAGTGGTGACGAGATGACTTGTCATGCGCTGCCAACCTGTTAAACAGATTATAACGATCAAACCTGCCACCTAATGAACCAGTGAGCACTAAACTCACTCAGCTAACCAGCTGGGTATTATGGGTGTAGAAAACGGTTTGTGAACATACATAGAATTCCTGTAGCCGAATTCAAAATTCACAGCTAAGGTGCAATCAATATCCTTCTCAGCTTGATTCTATTTATTTCATAAAGAGAAAAACTCACTACGGTATGTATTGTCAAACATAGCTCAGATAAAAAGTGATACAACTTTTACTTATTGACTTTACTTATTGTACGTGTAGAAGCAGTTGGGGTTTTTAACCGTAATTTCTCCAAATAATTATACAAAATGCAAATGACTGATATGTATAACTTGATTGAACACAATAAACAGATTGTCAACACAATGCTTGAATTTCTTATACATTAAAAAATGTGTTCATCTTTTTTTTCAGGCCATACTTTGTTAGACGGATCCCTCACACGAATCTTCTGCTGATAGTTGTGAAGGCTTTGTACGCTACATGTTCCAAAGATGAGACGACAGAGTTTTCCGAACTTCATTACGAGGACGAGCCAGAACCTCAGATACCAAGCTGTGTCAAGATGTATCTCAACGATCTTCCTCGAAGGAGGCTTTCGGGATGTTACAACCAGCATCCTCAGGTTTAAACTCTAACAGTATTAACATTGCAATCTTTTGAATTTTTTTGTCTTTAGAGTGTGGGTTGAAGTCTATAGTGTCTTTAATCAAGGGGGGATTATGTGGATGTGCCTAAAATTCTTCTGAAGAGCTTGATTAGTATAGCCACTCCCTGACAGTGTACCCAAAGTTTTTAATCTGACCTTTTTGAGCTTGCTTTCAATTTTTCAAACCTATTCAATGACCAACCAAAGATCCTAAAAGTTGGGTCTAAGTTATAAAAATAACTAACAGCAGTGTAGTGGGGCGGAATTGGCATTCCTACTCTGCTTTTTCCAAAACTTCAATATATTAATTAGTGACTCATGTTTATTTTCCAAGGGATGGTGAGCTGTCCCGTACTGACAATTTTACAACTACATCACTGCTAACTAAGACCTGGTTCCATATATGCTGAACCATTCAGCCCAATAATCATCTGACTAAATTTTATAAGGATTATTCAACTCCATTGTATCCCAAACCTGTTTGAATGAGAAAAAAGTGCTCATACTGTTTACAGTAAACAGTACAGACGAGATAATTTGTAGGACATCAAGAATATTTCTGGTTTCAAATTTCTCTTTAGTTTGTGAAGTTGTTTCAGTGCTGTACTGTGAAGATATTTTTACTAGATTAAGGTTTCTGATTTCACGCAAGCTATTTAAACAAGTTCACATAAGAATTTTGATAAATTGTTCATTTACAAATTGGAAAAAATACAACCTTTCCACAACACCATATCACATTGATATGTTGAAGTACACCGGTAACTTTTTGTTATTTAATCTTATCCCAGTCAACTAATTCTGTGATGGAAACTACTGATGAACATTGTGTTTGATGTTTTATTACTTGATTTCCGACAGGAACTGGAGATTGATAGATGTGGAAGAGGCTCAGCCCTGACTACAAGTTTGCTCTCGTTACTTCCGTCTCTGTGGATAATCGTCAAATACTGCTTATAACATTGTCCTTTCCTGTGTACAACTCTCTCTCAACCTAGACGAGGAAGGTAAATTGTACTTTGAAATTACCATTGACACCTTTACTATGATTTTTTAGATTAACTAGTCCACTGACAAAAGGATGATGTTGGCATTTTAATTTTTTTTAGAGGCAACGGTTTGAAACCTTTCCAATATTATTGTACATTGTGTCTGTTCAAACATGTCTAAAGATTATTGAAAAGGTTTAAAGTTACTAAAAAAAACTCAAATGCCTTCTTGAAAGAATGTGACAAATTTACCATACGCTGACTTAACCGAATTGTTCTGTAATAATTTTCTGGTTTACAAAGGTACTGTACTGAAATAGACGTCCAATGGACCAGCTGTCGCCAATTTTTTAGAACATAGTCCTGTGAGACAGTCAAAGAATGCATTAGTGTCTAGAATTATATTTCATATCTTATTTTGTTACTAAGATTGTTGACAAGCATTATAGACGTTATAGCTTACAAGAAGTCGTTTTATCAGTTTGACTGAATATTTAACACACATCAGTAATCTATTGGGATGGAAAGTCAAATTTTATCAATAGTCAAAGGTAAAAGTAATCGACCATAAACTTGAAATTGTTTTTTTCCAGGACAATCATCTTCTACTTGATTCATCCACTGACAGATACGTGAGATGAATAGTTCTTCTACAATATTGTGATCTCTTAACTGCATAGAATCATTGAGCATACTGTAGTAGACATGCCACCATTTCCACCTACATGGACTAGACACAGCAAATAGAACAGTCGAATGAGCCAGAGTGTACTTAATTGCAATTCTATTTTCTACACTAGTTTTTGATTTGTTGAATTTGAGTTTGATTCGCATATCATATGTGGTTAAACAATAACCTACTTTCAGTTGGATTTGGATAAAAAAATATGGCTTCCAAGAAAATAGCATTTGATAATGTAATATAGGTGACTCAATTCAACTGCCATTCTCACTTAAAAGCTAGCCAAAAAAATGGGAATGGGATGCCTAAAGGTACGTTTTGCCTGGAGCGACAGGTGCGACGGTCGCGCAGCGACCGTCGCTGAGCGGCAGTCGCGGGACACTGATCAAAGGGGTTTTGCATAGTCCTGTTTTGCTTGGAGCTACTGTCGCTAGAGCCGCGAGCTGCAGTCGCTGGGTTCTGCTCCAAGACCAGTCAGGAGCGACGGTCGCTTAGCGACAAGTTAAATTTTAGTGGTGAGGAAGACTACAGTTTATTAGAAGAAGTGGCAAAACACCCCGCGCTTTATATTATATCCTACAAAGACCAAGGAATAAAGGACAACGTCAGGTTAGTTTAATATTATGTTATTATATTATAAGTTATTTTAACATATTAGTAGATTATTTAGATTGTCAACTTTAAATACTTCTAATTACATTTTCGTTTAGGTAATTTAATAAAATATTGTTCTGTATAAATGGTTGTTGATCAAATTGGCTTAAAAGTCAGGCGTGTCATATGTATATAAAATGCCAATTATTAAAGTAATGTGTTAAGAAGAGGCTATTCAAATATTAATGGAGTATATAATGTAATTGGTATTTTTTCATTTACTATACAATCAACAAAATATAATTTTCACTCTGTGAGGAGGTTGTTTATAATACTGATTTCCAATTCAAGTTATGCTTGTATACTACAGTACAATTGAGTAATTTTATTACATTTTGGCTTGTGATATGGCAGTTTTGGAATGTTACTCATAACAAATAACTAGGCCTATAAAGAATACTTTATTGTTAAGTTTTGCCTGTTTTACTAAGAGAATTTATCGAATTTATTTAGTGACTTTATACTTAGTGCGCACTTTTGAGGTTAGTTGCACTGACGGTACCACGTCTCGTGACGCCAGGAAGAAGAAGTTGTCGCTCCAAGCAAAACAGTCTACCACCCCGCGACTGCCGCTCAGCGACGGTCGCTGCGCGACCGTCGCACCTGTCGCTCCAGGCAAAACGTACCTTAATAGTAGATAGAATATAGATATACCAAAACATTTCACTTGGTTTTTCGGATGTAGTTCTAATGTGGTTAAACATCCAACTAAAGGATCTAGAACTCTAGAAATACATGAAACACTAGGGGGTGGGGAGGGGGCAAACCCTAAACTTTTATTGTTAACATTCGTCCCTACGCTATATCATAAACTTTAAAATTACATCTCGATTGTAGAAATTTGTTAAGTAAGGCTGTAAGAGGGATGATTAGGGAACCCCTTACTGTAAGTATAATGTCATTATAAAACTTAACTTTTGAATGAAGTGTAAATAAAATATCCTGTAGAGTGTATACTGTAGTTTGCATTTATAAATGTAGGGCAAGGAACTCCTTTTGGCATTGTTTCCTGTTCAAACTCAAATGACCAAAGAATGAATAAAAATTAGTTAGAGTAAGGCTAAATAATTGGCCATAGAACGATTGGCACACATTTTTAGACGATTTGGAATAGCACGACTGGCAAAATCATTAGAGGGGATTAAGAAGGGGTCAACCTGTAAGGTTTGGAAAGGCACGATTGGCACAACCGGTCAGGTAGTAGCCGCCAAATTCCCTGCTGTGGTGCTTATTGAAGTAAGCAAAGTTTAAGTTTTCCTAAATAAAAACTATAATCAACCTAACCTAAACATTAAATTTTCTCTGGAAAAACAAACTACGTGATATTACCGTCAAATGACTGTTGTGCAGAGTTGACGGGAATTTTAAAATTTCCGTTTCTTTTGTCCGATGACGTCTACCTGGTAGAGCGGTTGTGCCAATCGTGCCTTTTCTATGCAGGCGAGTTGACCCTACTTATCCGCTCAAATGATTGCGGCAATACTGCCATAGGCAGAAGGTCCAAAAATGTGTGCCAATCGTCCCGTCCCCAAATAATTACATTCTTAAAGTCCAAAGTCAGAAGTGTTTTAGTTTTTATAATAATTCCAAAGATTCAATGTGAGTTTTACAGTATTTGGAATAGAAAAAGATAAATATGTTTAAATACCCAGATTTGATTAGGCATGTTCTTGGTTGTTGTTTTTAAAACCTTCTTTCATACTTTATTCTACTGTATATGTAACCACATACTTTATGTGTAAGCCTATTTCCTATGTATCGTAGCTGTAGAAATAATAAATCTATTGAATGTTGTTAAGTGTTATAAATGTATATTGTGTAAATAAATTTGTATGACAAAGATACTTCAGAGCTCATTTTACAAATTATTTAGAAACACCTGTATTTGACCAGTTAAAAACTAAGATGATTCTGAACTTTAAGGCGACAAAAAAATATTAGTCCTTAATTTTTTTTTTAGATATAAAATTTGCTCAAAGAGTAGAATGAAAACACTCAAAAACACAAATTGAACCAATCTATTCATTGTAGTAGCCAAGAACTGTAATAACGACTAGGCCTAATATTGGTTTTATATTACCTGTCGTCAGTTCCAAATTGTAACTTTGGTCAATTGTTCGGCGAGCTGCCATTTTCAAGCATACAGTCCAGGATGCTCACGTCAGCCATACCCTCAACGATAAACTACAGTTTAAATCAAATATTATTATTAACGCCCTACTCCAACAAGGAAACCTATCTTAACAGCTGACCACAACTGATAACGAAGACAATTCACTAATCTAGAGGTTAAATACCTTGTTGCCAACGTAATCCTTGGTAGACTTAATGGCTACCGGTTTCAACACAATTATGGTGTCATTGTCAAGCCTAGACGTGGTTTTTCGCTCCTAAACCACAACAACCTGAGCGAAAAAATGGTGTCATTGTCTAGGTTTGACAATGACACCATAATTGTGTTGAAACCGGTAGCCATTAAGTCTACCAAGGATTACGTTGGCAACAAGGTATTTAACCTCTAGATTAGTATTTGTTAAGTAATCCGGAAGGCAACACCTAAAAAATAAAGACAATTCAACTAGATAGCGCTCATTGAACCCTCCGTCGACAGACTGTTCCCAGTCGTTTCACGGCAATGTTTCGTGTCCGTTATAAGCCTATCCAACTAAAAGTATTATTTATTTATGTGTCGTGTGTTAAGTGTGATGTGTGTAAACCAACAACGAAGCTAAAAGCAGATATTTTTGTACACTCCTGGACTGTATGCTCTAAAACCGCAGTTCGCCGAAACATGTAGCATTGACAAAAGTTACAATTTGGAACTGACGATAGGTTTATAAAACCATTATTAGTCAAAACCAATTTAATAGGCCAACATTACCCAATGGCAGGCCATCCTCAACATGTTAGTGGCCTAGAAAAGTGAAGAGAAATTCCTAAAAACTTAACCCAGTAAACATAGGATCGCAAAACAAATCACAACAATTTTGTACATACTTGGTTTAATTTTTTTAAATTCAACTTAGACATTACTTAGACTTATACTAAACAAAAATATCCAATTAAAAAATTCTATTCCAGAGAAGATAGGCGAAAGCTTGATGAAATATTGGGAGACCCGACGACATCGATGGTCTCCGAGCTCAACGCTTTGCGGGAACTTTCCAATGGATTGTTCTGCGACTCCCCAAATAGAGACGGAGGAATCACTAGGGTCTAAAACATAAGACATAAGACTTATTTGTAACCAGTAGACTTATTCACCACGTATTGCAAGAGTCAACGTTTTTACTGCAGAGGAACTGACATAGTACATTCAAATCTACATAAAAAAATTACAAAATGGATAAAACAATTAAATGCACATCTACGCAGGACAGGGAAGATCGAGATAATTAGAAATATAAACATTTTAATGAGGATAGGATAAAACTTGAGGAACATATTTTGAAAACAGAATTGATTAGGTAGTACCAGTAGCTGTTTTTTCTACTCTAGGCATAAGTAGTAATTATATTTTATTTAATGTATTATTAACTTAAAGGTAAAATAGATTAAGAGGGGGTCCTGACAACTGTCAATGACACGATTTTTCTAACCGCCTGTTAAAATAATACACATAGAAAATTTTATAGGTTTATTTCCATTAGAAATATTTCAATTAATTAATTATAATAATTTATTTAATCCAATCTTAATGCTTTTTGGGGAGCAAGCTGGTCTAGTGGTTAGAGTACGGGACTCCGGTTCCTGGGGTCCTGGGATCAAATCCTGCCAAATCATCAATGGATTTTATCTAAGTGATAATGCTGTAACCCCTAAGTCTAGCCTGAAGTAATGTGAAAAACAATTCCGGGCTCGCGCCTAGGGCCCTAGGACAAAAAAAGCTTTTTCGTAAAAATTGAAATATTTAAAGTGTTCAAAACATTTCCTTAGTAAGCACCAAGGTATATATGAAGTTTACACCTTAAGACCATATAATTAAAGGGATTTTGTCTAACTCACTTTTTTAATTTTTAACTTTCTACAAAATCTTTGGTTAGGAGCAATTTTTAAAACTCACCTTGCCAGGGTTGAACGCCTCGTAGCGATGTCGTAGAGTTTGCAGCTCAAACTCGCAAGTTGCAAGAGCCGATTTGAGCTCGTACAACAACACCAAGTCACTCCTCAACTCATTGAAGTGATGGCAAATGTTTTCAGTTGGCATTGGATTCAGTTCTGAAAAAGATAATGTTAAAAATAAATAACTAAAAACGTTACTACAAGGTGTGATCAAAATAAAAACCAGTCTACTTGTTTTTACATTGAACACACAAATTTACATTTACAAACATTTATATTTTGTATATTAAACGTAAAGATTGTCATTTACAAAATTATATTGAAATAAATAGGCATATCAGCAAACTGACACATACTTTCTCCCATTAGCATGCCAAAAACGCTTGGGTAAGCAGTCGGAGTAACTATGATATTTTACGGGTAGGCCTAAAATTGGAAAAAAAGCTATAAAATTTGAAACACAATTTTTACAGCATTATAGGATGTAGTACTATTTTGTTTCGAGTTAAAATGGTGGAAATACAATTTTTAAATTATTTTATGGAAAAATCACTTTAAAGAAACAAAATAAAAAAAACCATTGTAGCTATTGGACTGGACAGGTTTGGTTTGCAGCTCTGTACATACACACAGACATAATTTCAAACACATTTTTTTTGTGTTCAGGGGTCCTAAAACAGATATATCCACCCATAACTCCAACTTGAAAATTTTGGTGAAAACTTTTTCCATTCAACTATGTAGGTCTATGGAGGAGAAAGCAGTAGTCAGGAAACCTTGAAACAACTAACAAGTATTCCTATTCAAATCAATGTGATACATTTTAAAGCCTAAACATGATCAGTAATAACCTACCGATATTGAGGTCTTGCAACATTTGTTCAATAGCCTTCATTTTCTTCTGTCCCACGTTTGCTGGTAGCTTCATCTTCTGTGAGCGGACAAACACCCCACTGGTCTTCATATCAGGGAACTTGATACCTGCAGTCTCCACAATCTGTAAAACAAAGGTAAATCAATCAGAAATGCATGTTAAATGCCTCTAATACACTACCCAGAAATGAATGTTTTGAGTTAGGTAGACTAAATGCCTCTAATACACTACCCGGGGGATTTAAACATTTAGACACATTATGATTAAGAAACCATGGCGGGACTTGAAGACAGCAGGAGAGGGAGAGTAAAGTAGTTGAAACAAAAACAGTTGTTGGAAGATTGTGAGGAAAGAGGGAATTCCTAGGAAAACCGAGTTGATAGGATTGAAGAAAAGAGACATAAAGGAATTCATAGAAGAAAGTGGAAGATAAGGTGAAGGGAGCAATATGATGGCAGATGATAGAGGCATTGTTAATAAAAGATTGGCAGATTTGGTTGACACCTCTACTTTGGAATGGCTGAAATGGAATAGGATAGCTATAAGGATAAATCAACAAATCATTAGGACTAGACAAGTCGCGAAATATAAGAAAAGTCAAAGTACTTCCTATCTTAGGGTGGGATTTAATAAATCAGGATTTTCTCAGAATAGGATTTTTTACAACTGTCAGTGATTTCACCATGATCCTAAGTGAAGATGGTGGGTCCACGATCGCTTAAAAATGTTAAAGATTTAACCGCTATTGCAGGAAAGGATGACAATGTCTCTGCGATCATTGGAGGGTTTAGATTGGATTTCCTCGCTATAAAGAGTGATGATGATTTCTCCATGATCATAGGAATGATTATGATTCCACTATTGCACAATGATGGCGCAATGGTGATGTTGTCTCGGTGAAATTGAGGTTATTCAGGTGATGATACTTAATAGCCTGATATTTGAAGTTAATGCCATACTTTGTTTAAGATAATATTGCTGATTGTAATTAACTAACTACTGTATTGAGATTGAGAAGTGGAAAGAATTGCTTATCATAAAAAGTTTCTCAACTTAAAATACAACTTTTATTTTAATAGTTTGTCAATTACTTACAAAATATGTGTAATTTTTCTCATTAATTTTAAATTTTTTGATGTTACTGTAGTAGAAGTCATTATAATTTCATATGAGCAGTAGAGTTGGTTATAATTGGTTAGTAACAGAAGAGTTAGGCCTATTATGTTTTGCGCGGTGGCTGCACAGCGCACTCGGGTAACCGCTCCTTCTTCTATGTCCAACAATGATTGTACCTAATTGGTTCTCTTATTACTTTGCCAACCTTTCTATTGTAACGGCTAAGTTCGACAGTTACCTATCTATTTTTACCCTTTTATAACACATTGCAATAAAGACCAAAGTTTTATTTTTACTACCATTTTACCATTTGCAAAAATGTTTTTCCAAGTTTTCCTGTTTTATGTATTAGGGAAGAAATATAAGCCCCACCCCATCCAACTCAAACTAAAAGTATATAGTGTGGATAATCTGTATGAATTAAATTCACCACTATGTGAACGAGTATTTGATAATGATTTATTTACAAATGAATTAAGTTGTGTGTTGAATCATAACATAATCAAAACTGAACATTTTTACAAAAACAAGCAACAGCTGTTACACAACAAATATGAAAACAAAGCATAGACCAAAGGCAACACAGCTGTGGCTAAGTTGACGCCACAAGTACAATTCTGTTGAACCCTAATTATTAGATTTACTCTTTAGTAAACACTTACGGTAGTGTCCACACGTGGTCGAGCTTGCTGCAGCTTCTTCCGCGGAATCTTCCTCTCCATTTTCCGCTGATCCCCTTGGTTATCAGCCGCAGTTATCAGCTTCTGCAGATCCTGCGCTTTCTTGTCCCTCTCCTTCTTCCTCGCCTCGATCTTCCTCAGCTCGTTCAGGAGATTCTGTTCTTCCTCGACCTGGAAACAGATTTGTAATGTAATTAAACTGCTTTTAAGGCTATGAATTGGTGCAGACATGTATTTGTAAAGTGTTTTGGAATAGAAGTAAATTTTTTAGCTAAGTGTAACTAGTAGCCTACACCTATGTCTATATTAGTATGGTTGTTGCCTGAGCCACCAATTAAAAATATGAGGCTGTAAAAGGGCATAAATTAAGATTAGTTGCCTACACTAAAAAAACACTTCTATAACCTTATTTATATTTTATCTTTTTTCATTTAAAGTGAAATGCACACTGACGGACAATTGACTGGTTTGATAGAAGTCAAGTTTGTATAATGTCAACTTAGTAGATCGTAGTAAATATTTACCAAGACGGTGTAAATAGATTTAAAATTTATTTAAGATTAAACTAGGTGAAACCCGTCGAAATCGACGGTTACTTTCGAGGCTTACGCTAATTCATCTAACTGCGATAAATTGAGTGAAATAATACACATTTTGAGCATTTAGCATTGATAAGTGTAAAAACAATAATGATATTAATTTCGTTAGTTACCAAATATGGTTGATCATTCAATGAATAAAATATAAAATATTTCCCATACTGTAGGCTACGTCATCGTAGTTGTTAGTATGCTATATCTGGTATCTCTTCCTTTGGAAGAACCTTTAAATAGTATTAAAATCGTATTGGTGGATCTTTTGTAGTTAAACACTTCCATGATTTCATCAGTGTAATGCAGATTAATCTATGATTTTATTTGAACAAAAAAATCTGTATGTTGGGAAGACACGTTCTAACTTCAAAGGGAGGTATATCCGTTACAGTGTAAGTTTGATTTTTCCTTCGTCACGTCGCATCAGTTCATATCGTACTTCTGTGCCGATTAATAACACTCTAGCACAGTTTTGAGAAATTGGTTGTGGTGTTACTGTTATAGCTGGAATTCCTTGACATGGGGGATGTCAGTTAGTTTTCTCAGCCTTATCAGTTACATAAAGTTGTCAATATAATCTACGGATGTTAACTCAACATACCCTCCGCCCGAATAAAAGTATAGCCCGATATTATACCGATAGCCCAAATAAAAGTAGATTATTTAGACAAAAACAAAACAAAAAACTAAACGAAACGAAAAAACGAAAGTTGATATCTATACTCAATTCTAATTACGTTATCCTATTTATTTTCATATAAGAACCTTCGGTAAAATTCCGGCATAATTTGTGTAATTAATTATGATTATTAAGATTGGCATAGTGCTGAATCACAAACAAACCAAATGGTTCCAAAATAGAATTACCTCAACAGTACCTGTTGATTTCGACGGGTTTCACCTTGTATTTTTTATTTTTTTTGTATTTTGTATATTGTATCTTAAACCGATGCTTGTTGTGAAATCTGGACATGCATAACTTCAATTTGAAAATTCAACCATGAAAATTGGTCGAGTAGAAGAGCCAAACGAACTGGGAAATGAAAAACTAAATTTAACTACCAATAGAGCAAATTTATTTTACGTATAATCCGGGTTTGGACTGTAGCTACATATATTCCAATGCTTGATGGGACATCTGTGCGTACATACCCTCAATTTGAGACCTCAATCTTGAAAATCGGTCGGTTAGAAGAGCCAAACGAACTCGGAAAAGAGAAACAAAATTTAACTTCTATAAGAAATACATGGAGAGGAAATTTTTTTTACGTATAAACCAAGTGGGGTTATAGATAAATATTTGCCGATGCTTGATGGAAAATCTGTGCGTGCATACCTTCAATTCGAGACCTCAATCATGAAAATCGGTCGGGTAGATGAGCCAAACGAACTCGGCAAAGAGAAACAAAATTTAACTCCCATAAGAAATACATGGGGAGCAAATTTCGTTTATGTAGAAATCGCGTGGAATTATAGATACATTGATGCCGATGCTTGATGGCAAATCTGTACGTGCATACCTTCAATTCGAGACCTCAATCATGAAAATCGGTCGGGTAGAAGAGCCAATCGAACTCGGCAAAGAAACCCCAAATTTATCTCCCATAAGAAATACATGGGGAACAAATTTCGTTTACGTATAATCCGCGTGGGATTATAGATACATTTATGCCGATGCTTGATGGCAAATCTGTGCGTGCATAACTTCAATTTGAGACCTCAATCATGAAAATTGGTCGGGTAGAAGAGCCAATCGAACTCGGCAAAGAAACCCCAAATTTAACTCCCATAAGAAATACATGGGGAACAAATTTCGTTTACGTATAATCCGCGTGGGATTATAGATACATTTATGCCGATGCTTGATGGCAAATCTGTGCGTGCATAACTTCAATTTGAGACCTCAATCATGAAAATCGGTCGGGTAGAAGAGCCAATCGAACTCGGCAAAGAAACCCCAAATTTAACTCCCATAAGAAATACATGGGGAACAAATTTCGTTTACGTATAATCCGCGTGGGATTATAGATACATTTATGCCGATGCTTGATGGCAAATCTGTACGTGCATACCTTCAATTCGAGACCTCAATCATGAAAATCGGTCGGGTAGAAGAGCCAATCGAACTCGGCAAAGAAACCCCAAATTTAACTCCCATAAGAAATACATGGGGAACAAATTTCGTTTACGTATAATCCGCGTGGGATTATAGATACATTTATGTCGATGCTTGATGGCAAATCTGTGCGTGCATAACTTCAATTTGAGACCTCAATCATGAAAATCGGTCGGGTAGAAGAGCCAATCGAACTCGGCAAAGAAACCCCAAATTTAACTCCCATAAGAATAACATGGGGAACCAATTTCTTTTACGTATAAGCCGAGTAGGATTATAGATAACTATATTCCGATGCTTGATGGCAAATCTGTGCGTGCATACCTTCAATTTGAGACCTCAATCATGAAAATCGGTCGGGTAGAAGAGCCAATCGAACTCGGCAAAGATAAACCAAATTTAACTCCCATAAGAATAACATGGGGAGCAAATTTCTGTTACGTATAAGCCGAGTAGGATTATAGATAACTATATTCCGATGCTTGATGGCAAATCTGTGCGTGCATACCTTCAAATTGAGACCTCAATCATGAAAATCGGTCGGGTAGAAGAGCCAAACGAACTCGGAAAAGAAAACCCAATTTTTTTTAATATATAAGATTTAAGATTAAATAGATAGCTACATAACTGAATTCAGGAAACATTCTTCAATTACAGTCATATATATCCAAGTCAAATGACAAATAAAATTGGGTTATTAAATATTTTAACAGTGGTTTTAACATTCTCAAGATCGAAACATCAAATCACTAGGTGTGCACATTGAACCAATCAGCTAATCAGCTGTTAAACATATTCACCTGTTCTGGCGTTCTCTCGTAAAGCCGCTTCAACTGCTCCTTCCGTCTCCGCTCATGATCTGCGTCGAAAACGTAAAGTTTTCCCTCTGTCACACCTTTAATCTAAACAAAACGTCTATGTCTAAGCAAAGCACATGTGTAGAGAAACAATAAACGTAGCATTAGAAATGAACATTAGCATTGGCGATTGCGATGGGGACGCTACCTAGGTGGGTATTTTAACCCAAATATGAGTGAATAAGTATAGAATGGTGTGAGATTATCTGTTGTAACTGACTTAAGATCAGATGTTTCATCAGTTAGGATCAGTTATTTTAATCCCAATGATCAGAGGCAGTATTCAAACCATAAAAAAGCTGCTGACTTTTCTCAGGATAAAATAAAGTATCCATCTTTTATAAGAGAGGTAGAAAAGCAATTGAGGAAAATATTTGTTTTGTTTTTTAAGCGGATAATATTGGCGATAAAATAATATTCCTAAATACTAAAAAGACTAGGCCTATATGAAAACTATTTCATAACAAATAGAAAAGTTTTAGTAAATCCAGCACCTAAAAATTATACAGTTTTCTATAAAACTGTGAACTGTGATCCAACATATTTTTCTACAATACTTGTATTTAAAATTGTTTTAAACAATAAATACACAGTGCTACAATTCATTACATTAGGTACCTACCTTAGTGAGCAAAGTGCACACGTTGTAGTAGCGTTCCTTCAAATCCTCAATGGTGCGGTCAGGAAACCGCGCAGAGTCCCAGCGGTCTCGCATCACGCCGAATCTGAGGTCAAAGCGTCGCGCCAGGTCAAACAGATGGTCGGTCTCCGCGCGACTCCACGACTCCGACTGCAAGTGTTGCTGGTATTGAGCGTCCGAGTACGAAGGTATTGGAGCTTGCTGTTACAACAAATATATTAGGCCTAAGTAAGATTTCTAAGTAATGTAACGGTGTTTTTGATGTAGACTAGCTGTAATAAATTCACTAAATACTATACTGTTATTTCGGTTTTTGGAGGAAAAAGCAACTGACTTAGGAAAACTAATGCCAAATTTAAAATAACTTTCAATATTAAATCATGTGTTTAAGTTATTTTACCTTATTAAACTTTGCAAATGGATACTCTTTTCCTTCATCAGCGACTCTTCGCCAGTGGTAAAACACAGCTCCATCTTTTCTGGCCGGATTAGTGAAGGGCATCCACTTCCAAGGTCGAACTTTTCTCATACCCAGCTTAGCTTTTAGCTGTTTGTAGCCTTGGCCTTACAAAAAAACATTCATAAAATAACATCTGGACAAGCGTGATATAGCCTAATAATAAGGCTAATCTAATTTAAAGCATAAAAAAGGTATGAGCTAAAAGGTACAAATATGGTACAGTAATTTATTCATAGCTTAATAAATCTTCAAACCTTTTACATACCGGTAGCCTATTTAAAATGACAAAGACAAGTTAAGTTCAGAAGTCCTTGTACTACAAACAGTAGGCTTCACATAAGTGGGATGGGTGTGTTGCTAGCCTAGTGTTTAGCGTCTTGGACTTCGGTGCGGGAGAAACGGGTTTGATTCCCAGCATATCCACAAAACTTAAATATGGGTTTGAACTGCTTTCCCTTAAAAGTGTTTGAACTCACGTTAACTTTTAGCAAAAATCCCACTATTAGATGGATAAAATCATAACCACATAGAAGCACATTTGACTTGACTAAAGCTCCATGGTAGGGCCATTAATTTGGATTTGTTGGGGACAAGCCTATAATGAACTAAGATTGTTTAAATATATCATAGGCTAAACCCCCTTAAAAATTAGTTTTTTTAAGATAACAGAAAATTATGGCATAGCCTACATAGAATAGCATACTAGATAGAAAACTCAATTAAAACTTCCGACTGACCTGTATCAGTGGGGAAAAGAGGTGGCGCATCTTTATTGTCGTTATACAAAAGAGCAAACACTTCTCGATGCATTCCCTCTGGTCTCTTCGGCATTTTTTGCTGCAAAAGCAGCTTCTTCTTCTGTTTCTCTGCATTTCCGAGGATAGCTTCTTTGGTAACTGTTTCTGCTTGACTTGGAACCTCAAGTTCGAGGATTTCACGAACGTCAGCCATGTTCTACGCTAGAAACAATTGACCATTAAGGTCTAGGTGATGTCAAAATCGACGATCAAGTAGGAACTTAAAATTAAGCATCCAATACTTGGCAAGATATAGCAAAAACACTCTATTAAGATGGAATATTAGAGACAAAACTATACACAAAAACGGGAGGTCACTAGATGATATCTAGACACTGGTAAGATCACTGACCTACACATGTGACGGTAGGCATACTTCTTTAAAGTCTTTATGTCCATTTTGATAATAGTCAATCGTTTTTTCAAACCTTAAAGATTTATTAAACAAAACTGATAACAATCCCTAAAATCACAGACTGAATGTTTGACCAGTTCTAAGGACCGATTTACTTAAGTTAACTTATGACTGCATAGATAATAATTACATCAGTTAAAATTATTATCTGTAATATTGATACTATATAGGGTAGGCCTATTGAAGTCATTTGCCAATTAATAGACAAATAAACGAACCAACAGGGTAGACTTCCGTATCTGTTGGCAAAAACAACCGAATGAAAGTATCGATTATTCGATTGTTTCATTCGATATATCGATCGATATTTTCATTCGGTTGTTTGTGCCAACAGACAGGCCTACGGAAGTCTACCCAACTTAATAGGCCTAACTTCTTAATCTGAATCGTACGTTTTATTAAACTTACGGAAAGTAAATAAAAGAAACGTCTTATAACACTTAAAACATATAACTTATATTTACGTTTATACCTACTGTTACTCACAAGACGGTAACTTAAATTAACTTAAGACATAAAAGATGGTAAGTTTAAGTGGACCACTTACCTACCATCTTTTATATAGCCTATAACTTATTTAACGTCTTGTGAGTAACAGTATAAGCGTAAATATATGTTTTAAGTGTTATTAGACGGTTCTTTTATTTACTCTCCATAGAAATTAATGACTAGTGGTTAGGCTAGGCCTACTAGTAAGTTGAAGGGACTGGTTTTATTATTTAGAGTGAGGTCAAGCAAGAATACAAAATCAACCAAATTTATTGATGGCTAAGTAGGCTAACATAGGGCTAAGTAGGTACTATGCTTAACTACCTAACTTACCTTTGTTGTCTAATGCATCTACTGAAGTTGAGCCTATTCCAAAATGGTTGTTTTCCTCAAATCAGAGTTTTAGGTTAGCCCTTGTTTATTTAGGAATCTCACTTCTCTCACATCGTTCGACTCACCGCTCATTAGTACATTGATTTATAAGAAAAGTTTTGTATTTCTTTACCTTTCACAATATTTACTGCAAAATATTGCAGAGAAAACTATTAAAATAAACTATAAACAAATGCACGCACTGACACTGACATGAAGTTAGTTTTTTTTCAGTTTTTTGAGTTTCGTTCACATACAACAGAAGCAGGTTAGATTAAACATCATGAAGCCTAAATTACCAAATCAAAGCACTTTAAAAAAGAGGGGTTTGAAATTAAAACCTTGGATTTCTCAAGCTTAAAAATAATTTGCAATGTAAATTTAGACTAGGATAAAAGTAAGCAAAAAGTCAAATAACTGACTTCTAAAAAATATGTGACATTAAAAACATAGAACATCCGCATGTATAGCCAGTGGCGGTTCCAAGGGAAGGGGGCTATAGGGCATAAAACCCCCCTTGAAATATCTTGAAAATATCAATTTAAACATACATTTCAAAATAAAAATGCAACGGCAGGTTTTTAGACACTGTTATAGAAGTTGATAATGGCTTTAAAAAGTCACCAAAAGGCTTTGAAATGGCTAAATTTCGGGGTAGGACCCCCAAACCCCTTCTGGTGTGGGGCACCCCCGTTAGCCCCCCTTGACAAGGTCCTAGAACGGCCACTGCTTCTCTAATATACAAGGCATTGTCACATAGGCCCGTACAAGGCCACAAGTGTGTTGCCTTGTAGAGAAGGACATGTGTCAGTATTATTAATGCGAACCAACTTGTTACAAATCAAGGGTGTTTCATATGGACAAATTTGCTGCTATACTGTAAAAAAATTGGATTTAAAATGAATACGGTGTCGTTTATAAGTGGATGTAAACATTGGTGGCCAAGCGGGACGCGACATTTGATTACAAGGTGAATTTCCACATTAAAACTGTGAGCATTTGGCTTTAAGCAGGTTATGTTTTCGTATGCAGCTCTTGAAAAAGTCTTTATGTAAGCCAGCTGTTATGAATTATTTAAAAACCCAACTGTCCTAACTTAATACTTGATCCCCGTGCGGATGACGGGCCTGGGACGGGCCAACAGCTATAGCATTTTGAATACTCACCTAAATGGCGTCCATGTATCATTATTAATTGCATGTGATTCGTATTTATTTCGAGTTGTTATCCAACTTCTGATCGAACTGTAAACTCCGCTGTGTCTCCTAGCAGTGGGGCGAATGAATAAAAATATCATCCAGGAAGAGAGAAAATAATATATTCAGTTTACTCAACAGTGCCGGATGTCAAACACACCAAAAGTTAAAACTGGCCTAAGAGTCATTGGAGCGTAGACATTTAACTCGTTAAACAAATTCATTAATTCCATTTAAATATGAGTACTCATAAGGTTAACATGGGAAACTCCAGAGCCACTGGGGTGGAGCCCAGAGGTCGGAGGGTAAAATCCTTTCTTAGTGAGCGTCTACTACCCAAAAGGAAGATGCCTGCCATGTTTCAGGTTCCTAGGTCTTATGGTTTCTGAGATTTAGTGATGAGTGAGTGAGTCAGTGGTATTTGAGCTTTAAATATATAGATAACTAGCTGGCCCGACAGACGTCGTCCTGTCCTATTGTGGTTTTATGTCACATGCTCGTTCATTTTCAAGATGAGCTCGTTCGCATGGCTCAATCACGTCCTGGTTGAAGTTCGTTCGCTACGCTCACTCACCTTTAGGTTGGAGCTCGTTCGCTGCGCTCACTTGCCTTCAGGTTAGCTCGTTCGCTACGCTAACTCGCCTCCAGGTTGAAGTTCGTTCGCTATGGTCACTCACCTTTTGGTTGCAAATTAGCTGTTCTCGTAAATTAAAAATAAATAAAGTGCTGCACCCTGTTGGTAAACCTATTAACTTTTTAATGCTATTGAACATCACAGAATCAAATTGTTTAGTTGCACCAGCTGTTAAGATTCTTTAATTGCATTTAAATATGAGTACTCATAAGGTTAACATGGGAAACTCCAGAGCCACTGGGGCGGAGCCCTATTGACGGATCTGACATACGGATGGTTGTGGTGTGATGCTCGTAAAAAAATTCTGAAACGTTTTGTGCCAATGTGTCAATTCCTTACTTGCAGATGATGAGTTTGGATCTACACTAAACTTGTCTGGCTTTAGGATCGTATTCATTTCACAATATCAAGTTATTAAAATTGTAATGAGAGTAAGAATGAATGAAAAAGAACTTTTATCACCTTTAGAAAGGTTTCTAATAACTTGAACAATACTATATTGAATTATAATGGATTTGTTTACAAACACAACAAAACAATAATACAGAATTGAAGACACATGTTTTTTTACTACAAAGGTTGTTGACAAGCTAATTGGAGAAAGTATGTGTCAGATTGCTGATACCATTTATTTGTCCTTGTGATTAACAATATGCTTCGTCCCATTCAAGGCCCCACTAGAAAAAACATTTTTTCTAGTGGGGCCTTGCCCGAACCCAGTTATTGTCCGCACCGCTAACACCTGTTTCTTGCAGAACTTGTTCTGTTTGTTGTAAATATTGACCGGTTGATATTTACAACCGTTACAAGGTTACCAAACAACCACTCAATATCTTTTCTGTACTTCCTAGTTAGTTAATAATTTAAGCTATTTGGTTACATTCAAATAAAAATTAATGCACTTTATTATTGCAAAAAATGTTAATTTTCCAGTTGCAAATCTTCACACAGTCTGGAATTTCGTTTCCACCCATGTTTGTGTGTATAATTTGTTAAGATTAAGAATATGCATTTTCTTATATTTTACACGAAAGAGGGTTATGATCAAAGTTTAAAACATGACTGTGTAATATTTATGATTATTAATTCGCGCTATACATATGTTAGATAAACGGTGCTTAGTAATTTCTCACTACGGTAACTAATTTAACAACTAAACTACGTACTGTACATCCAGAGATCCAAATGTATGTGCGCGTCTCGCTCTACCTTTAAAATGAAACTAATATTTACTGTGGTTTTTGGATCATTTCTGGTAAGATTTCATCCATATGAACTAATTTGCTTTAATTAACCTTTTCACAATTTCTAAGCATTTGATTAAATACAAATTATGTGTTTTATGTGTTGTTTTTATTGTTTATTAAATATCATGAATTACATGTCTGTATCGAGATTCATAATCTAATATCATGAGTTAAGGTCTAAATTATTAACCGATATATACTTTTCCTTCTTCTTTCAAAAAACATTTTATGAGAAAATTATATAGTTTTGTATTGATCCCATTCTTTAATCACAGTTATATGTCACTTTGGAATAAATAATAACGTATGATAATTGTTGTTTTTTAAAATAACTCTTAAGCCCCTCAATTGGCAATGCGATTATAATAGTGGCGATAGTTAGTGTCTGATTGCAGAGTTTATAATATTTGCTTTTTGTAAGGTTTATCATGACGCTGTTTAAAAATGAATGTTCAACAAGTTTTTTGCCTCTATTTTACTCTATATAAGTCACCAGCCACGTCACCAGTCACGTCACCAGTCACATCGCTAGCCACGACATTAGCCACGTCACCAGTCACATCGCTAGCCACGTCACCAGTCACATCCCTAGCCAAGTCACCAGCCACGTCACCAGTCACATTGCTAGCCACGACATTAGCCACGTCACCAGTCACATTGCTAGCCACGACATTAGCCACGTCACCAGTCACATCGCTAGCCACGACTTTAGCCACGTCACCAATCATATCACTAGCCACGACATTAGCCACGTCACCAGTCACATTGCTAGCCACGTCACCAGTCACATCGCTAGCCACGACATTAGCCATGTCACCAGTCACATCGCTAGCCACGTCACCAGTCACATCCCTAGCCAAGTCGCCAGCCACGTCACCAGTCACCAGACACAACAACGGTTCCTTGTACACTTTGTTTGGGCCCCACTGGTTTCAAAGAAAATTTGGCATCGTTATGTTTTAAAAGATTATGAAAACTCTAATTTTTCGTAATATTTGCTGGATACTTATTTATATAATGTGATCTACAACTTCAAACAGAAGTACACTACAACTTTACACAGTCAATTAATTTCAAACCCCATAACACGAGATTGCCATGACCCCATCTTGCTGGTTCAAAGTTTTTGTGATCAATATGTTTATGTTTATCATTTACACAATTAATCAGGATAAAAAGATTTTGTTCAATCTGAAATGGGATTATTCTGTTGCAGATTAGTCAAAGCTTAGCTGATATTTCATCATTTTCGGAGAAGGAGACGGAAATCAAAGGCCATGGTAAAACCGATGTTCATTTAATCATTATTCTTTAATTTAGCAGTTATTTTTAAACTTAGGTAACAACATGTATGCGTGTTTGTTTGTTTGAGTGTAAGTCTGATCCAGCTTAAAACCAAATTAAACTATAGCGATGTTTAATCTGAATGAAATAATATCACCACTATATGAACGAATTCTTTGATAAGTGTTATTTACAAACGAATGAAGAAAAGTGTTGAATCATGACATGGTCAAAACTAAACATTTTTAACAATCTAGCAACAGCTGTAACATAATAAATATTAAAATAAAGTGAAGACCAAGGCATCACAGTGGTGGCTAAGTTGACGCCACATCAGCCCCCCGCAGAGACTGGAAGTCCAGGAAGCTTGAGCTTTACATTTCGACCAGATCGAGTTGTATAGTTTGGAGGTTTGAGGGATGTGCTCGAAGATTGTATATTTTGTGGCTCTTTGATTGTTGGATGATTACATTTGTCAGGTAACACATAGGCAGGCTTCACCCTGTTTAAGCTCACTCACACTTGTTTGCCCTCAAAGCAAGGTCAATTAAAACAAACTGTATTATTTTACGATCGAAGGCGGATAATCCGATTGTCGGTTAATACGAGGTCGGTTAAGAGGGGGTCTACTAATATAATAAAATATTGGAAAACTATACAGACGAATAAAACAATATGGTACCGTACATTATTTATTGGGAGAAATATTTTCTTTAGTCAGAGTACTGTAAAATGCTTCTACTGGATGGGGAGACTCTGAAAACTTATCTTGTCCCGTCATATATTCATATGTTATATACTTCGATGGTTAATACGCCTTTGCGTTGTAGTAGTGGATTGTCTATACATCTAAATGTATTTAAATTTGAAGCTTATTTGTATAATGGAAGGGACAGAAAGTTGTAGGAATCTAAAAATATTAAATCATCGACAGAGAATTCCCAAGTGTTCGCACCCTATCAAAACATAGGGGCTTTACGCAAATGTGACAATGTGTTGAGTATTGGAAAGATGCCTCTTGCTCTGGAGTCATTACAAGGGGAATGTATATCGCCATTTGACTTTTAATGAAGTCATAAGTCTCAAATAATCTTTCTTAAAAACGTCCATAACATTTGCGCCACTGTATAACTCTTCAGAAAAGAATCTCTCACTACAACAAATTTAAACCCAGATGGAGTATGGTTGTTAAAGTTTATAAATCATTCAAAGTCTGCATAAATTACAAATGGGGCTTTAAGTTTATGTTTATAATTTTTAAATTGTAATGTATTTTGTTTAGACATTTCAACTCCTTGGGCATCACATATTTTACAATAAGTTATATGACGTTCTAATTTATGATTAGTGAAAAAATTTTGTAAAAACAACTTACAAAAAATGCTTCTTATGGTCATATTTTGTAGACCGTAGCATTAACCTATCAAAATCACAAATTAAACAGTAATGTGGTTTACGACCTTGTTGTAATAACAATGGATCTAATTAGTATTACTGTTTAGTTTGGTTATTCTAAATGGATATATGCATTTCTCATCTTCGATCCCAAATATATTAACACTTATATTATTTTGTCTTTCAAATTTATCTATATCAGATATTTTCACAGGATACTTTATGTTTGTCATATTCAACTGATTTTAATAGGGTACATAGTTAGAGACTCTGTTAGCATGTTCATTAGAGTTCCTTGGATATAAAACTGCTAAAATCGAACAAAGGAAAGCATTTATTGTCCGACTTTTTTATATTTAAAACTGAATGTTTCGATTTAATACTTTCTGGTGTGGGAATGTATGACTTTGGTGTTAGGGGCTTATACTTGTAATTATGCAACTGTCAATATTTAGTATGGTCATACATCCATCCACTACCTTGGGCTTGATATTTCTGCATCGATGCGTCAATCTTTAAAAGAGCATTTTCAATATGAGGTTTTGAATCTCTTTTCTTAATGGTTAGGATGGTAATGCTTCATAAATCTGCAATACATTAGTTTTCATTAATTAATTTTCCATTTTGATCTGTTGGATATTTCATAAATTTGATTCTCCTTACCAAAGTCCATTTTATCGGCTGAGGACAAGACTTAAGAGTATTTTCAAGTTCAGTTCAAGACGATTCACCAACGAATTTAATCATTGTATATGGACAATTGTTGTAAACATTTATATGTCTTATTAAATGACCAACAAATTTGTTTTACAAAAATTACAAGTCCTGTGACTTTAAGACTTTTTTGGGATTTAAGAGCTATGTTGCTATCACAGATTAAATCACAAACGTTGTACCTTCATATGATAGTTCATAGTTTCACCTTCATTTGATGTATTAACTTGTAATAGCGAATCAGTTTGTTTTTGTTGGAGAGCGACACGGAGCAGTGTTGACATGACTGCTTCATGTTTAGGAATGAGGTCTCGGGCTGATGTCACCTCTATATATAGACTTTTTGTAAAATTTCAAAATTGTTAACTAGAAATTAACAAATTTATAAATCATTTCAACAAGAGATGAAGTTTGGAAGGTTATCCACCCAGAACTCAATCATGGAGGGTCACAAAGCTTTGAGGGACGAGAAGCGAGAAGCCCGACCATGGGTAGTGGGGAGTATGGCCATGTCCGCGGCAGTGAGCGCGCCCGAGTTCTCATGCAAATCTCGCATGATTTTTAAAATATATGTGGGAATGGATATCGATTTCTAATGTTTATAAAGTTAGACAATAGTATGGAACATTTAAATAGGGATGTATTGGCCCTGGGCAGGATTTTTTTTTAAGTGACTAAAAAAACCCAACATGTTATTCTTATCGGGAAAACGACCCAAGTGCCGTCATATTGCCATATTGCTCTACTTTACATTTACACCTGCATGGGTTAATAAATGAAAGAATTAGCTTTTTAAGCTTGATTTTGAAAATATATAGGGGATAAATGGATTAGTCATATTTATAAGGTTGGACAATTATATAGGGATATGTATAGGCAAAGATAAGGAATTTTGAAAAAGTGGCCAAACATTGATCCCCATGTTATTCTTATGTAAAAAATGGTCAAAGTCGTGTCTCTCTGCTATTTTGTCCCAACTATTATTGTGGTGAATAATGGTAATAGGGTATAGTGTGGTGAAAAATAGCTTTCGTACAACGGACCGAAATGGTTTTGAAGCTCTCGATCGTTTTAAGTTCTCGACTTAGTCTCGAACATAAAACCTATCTCCAGCCGGCAAAACCTCATTTTCGGCTACATGACTAACAGATAATTCAATATGTATTGGTTAGTTTGTATGTCAGTGACATATGTCACAGTTCTAATGACCAGTTCTACTTGTCAAAAGGAACAGACTCATAGGGGTCTGAAACACAAGTTAGAAATGTAATATTTGTTATTGGTTGTAAGAAGCATTGTTTAACCTATTTAAGAATTTTTTAATGAATGACGGTTCAATGAGTTGTATAAAAACGTAGGTTTTATACATTCCCTAGGTACAAAATATACTATTTAATAAAGCTGTATTTTTATCTTTCAGTTCTGGACTTTCCTCTTCAACGAGATGAGCCCGAGGATTTTGATTCATGTCAAGTCTTGCCGAAGAACATCGACCCAGAAAATAAACTGAAAAATGGTAGAATAACTGAAAAAAACTTCAAACTCGAAACAGGCAAAAATCTGCTCGTTAAATGCGTAGAAGGTGACAATGAAGTTAATGCGTTTGTATACGGCTCAGAAGGTTACTTCATAGATAGATTGAAGCTAGAAAAAAGTAATATGCATTGTGCACAATTGATTGATAACATTTCTGTAGGCAAGACTTTTAGAGGTAAAGTGTTTATATTCAACATAATCTACAAGTTTGATGTGGAGGGTAAACATTGCAAATTCTTCTTCATCAAACCTAAGAAATGTGGTCGGTGTTATAGCAGATCTTACGAGATTACCACCACTCTTCACTATCACATATTAAGGAGATTAGGAGCAATATATACGAACTGCAGGGATGATGAGTATGTAAGTTTAAACTAATACGTCATGTGACAAAATATATCTTAACCAAGCCATATGGTGTAGTAAAATTCAGGAATGTGTTGAATATTGTCGTAATTTTATAATTAGATTAATTTAATATTAAAATAAATCCACGAGGCTTCAACGGTAATTTATAGTATAACTTTTCAGCTTTGCGAACTGTTATACCAAATTGTAACTGTATTTTACTGTCCAAAGTCAATCCTAAGAGCAGTCTGTTAACTGATGGTTTAGGGTGTAAGACGTAAACTAATAATAGTTAGTTTTGATCAAAGCTGATACTTAAGTAGTAAGAGGGGAATTGTACCGATTCAAAATGAATGACCAAATGAAAATTCAAATCAAACTGAAAACGCGCGAAGGCAAGGACCAACAACGGCCAATCACGTGAGCGCGGAGGAACACCAATTTGCTGACTTGTGCGGACGTCTTTTTCTAACGGTCACTTGGGACCAAGCTCTGAGCCGCGATGTACGGAAATCTTTAAATTCTCCTTTTCAATTTGCAAAAATCACTTTTGGTAGTCGTAACGTGTATTTCGTCAACGAATCAATTGTTCGATTTCCGGAGTGCATTGATATCTAAAACCGTGAAACAGCATTTACTAAATTACGAATTGAAACAAAACGAGTCTTTAAATTCGACGTCGACCGGCAAAATTCGTCAGATTTGACCATTTTCGTAGAGCCTATCCCAAGTACAGTGTCGTAATTATATGTTTATGTGTCGTCAAAATTGTCTTCTGTGTATGTAAGTAAATGTTTTGTGTAAATTGTATTTATATCATTAGGAGAAGCCAATCTGTCCACATTCATATTTGTTTAATCATGTTTTTTGCAGGTTTCATGTCTTAGTGTGTAAATTCAGTCACATTGCTTTAGAATTATTGCCATTTACTTATTTTAAAATACATACTGTGATACATTTGTAGATATTGTTATATTAATAATTTGGGTAAATTTTTATACCAGTTAAATTTCATATTAGTTTTGTGCTTAAATTCAAATTATATTGTTAGGGTAATCAGCTGTCTGTCACGTAAAACTGTTACAATTTGTTCTTGCTTTAATATTTGGGTTTGAAATCACTTCAAAAATACATAAAGAGATCACTGAGAGTATTTGATTGGGTGCAAATTCAGGTTTCAATCAGAGCATTGTCCCGGTTGAAGGTTAGGTGTCAATACAGGCTACAAGGTAGGCTTCCATTAACGCCATAAAAATCATATTTTTAACTTAAATTAAACAAACGACTCAGTAGTCGTTTTGGTCCAGTTTGCTACTGAGCAACAAAGTGTGCTGTACACAGATATACGAATAGCCCCTTTGCACATAAGATCAACTGGCCAGTTGTAAGTAAATACCATACTTTGGGA